TTTACTGGTCTCCTAAAATCCCTCAAATCACCCCAAGTAAGAGTCATTTTCGCTCGGGCGAAAAAATCTCTTTTGTCTCCGATTTTTTAAAAATATTGAAATTATTTATTGTCTTGATCAAAAATTTTTTATAAAGATCAATATCGGGTCGGACATCTAAATTTTTACTAGAAAATAGCTCAGTTACACAGGGTTCTACTGTTTTATTTCCGTTATCGATAACGGTAATTTGATATATGCTACGTTTGAGAAACTTTAAGACTTCCTGATTCATTCAGTTCAGCTGGCCCAATCCTCTGTAAAATACATTATTTTTAGTTTTTCAAGTATATACTTTCTTACAGATTGTAGAAAGAAATTCTCTCTTTTCTGGTACAGCAGCAGCCTCGTCATGTATACATGTTTTAATTTTGGTTATAATTCTCATCACGTAACTTTTCCTAGTTTCTACATTTGGCATCTTGTATGATAATACCATGACTCAAACGAAAAAAACCTAGGCAATATCTAAGCAGTGGATATAATAAAAGAATAGTGGTAAAACTATACAGAATGAATCTTAAATAAGTGCAAATATTTTCAGGGGTGGTATATTTCGACCCCAGGAACACGTCCATGATTTTTTTTGTAAAAAAGATGTTGAAAATCGTGTTTTTTCTTTTAAATTTTCCTGCATATTTTAGAAAAAATTTTAGAACTTCCTGTTCACCGTAAATTTTCCCACGGTATAGTTTCTTAATCTTTGATATTACGGCACAAAAAGAGATGCAAATAGAGAAAGATTTAGGTGGCAAAATTTTTTAAAATAAAACTTTAATAACTCGGTTATTTTGGACTTATTTGAAACACGGTAAAGATAATATATTATGTTTCTTTTATTCATATCTACCAGCCCTGAAAATATTTGCACAAAGCAGCACAAATAAGGTGCACTTATAGAATCACCTTGTATAATAAAACATTTCAAATGGAACAACAAACAACAGATGTTTATTAAAATTATAAGTGTCTCAGAGGAAGACATCTAACAATAGTTATTTTACAAATTGGTGTTTATGTTTAAAAGCAACGAACGATTATATTGATGCAAATTGATTAGTTAGTTAGGCAGTCACTAAGAATCTTACATAACTTTAGTTAGAAGGTTAACCATTTAATTTTTGAGCTCTGATCGGGACCGGCCCACCGGCCCATCTTCCCACCGGCCCACCGGGAATTTTCCCGTTTTCCCATATGGCCCATCCACCCCTGTATCTATGTCATTAAGTCTATATTTAAATTGTCCTGATGATATTTGCATCATCAGGACAATTTACTTAATTAATTTGGCGAAACGTTGACAATAAAAGTGACAGGCTTCTGTTGCGTTTTTTGCGGTCCTCACACAATTATAAAAAAAACAGTATCTAGTAATCTGAACCGACAACACTAGAAATTATTTTTTATCATAAAACATATACAGGGTGTCCCAATATTCCGTAGACATAGAACTACTACGTATTTTTGGAATCAAAATAAGTTCATTGGACACAATTTACCTCTATACAAAAGTCTGTGCAAAAGTGCTTCGTTTATCCGTTAGAGGGCATCAAACTTTAAAAAAATAAACACATTTTTACAGATATTTTAAGAATCGTTCATCCGATTTGAATGAGATTTGAGGTGTCTATGTTGTGCTAAGTTTTTTAACATTTGACGTTTACAAAAATCAAGAAAACTACGGGAAGGGTGAAAACTACCACCACCCCTACATAAATTTTAGTATAAATATTTTCCTACCTCACAAACAACCGATTTTTTTTCGCAAAATAGTCCTTCTAGTATTTACTACATTTCTTGACTGTTGTAAAAAAAGCCATTTCGCATACTTTTTGAGATTTTTTTTTCCAAAGCTAACTTTTTTTTCTTTTCTAAAGCAAAAAACGTTTCTTGTTACATCAAGCTATACATATATGGAGACGCATTAGGGTAAGCCAAAAACTTAGAATACAGTTTTAATAACAGCACAGAATAAATTTTAATAACGCCAAAATTATAAAGAAAGAGGCGACTGCCTCTAAAAGAAAAATAAAAGAAGCTTTTTTAATTCAATCTAATAAAAATAAATGTATTGCTCATGCATCTGTAGATGTTAGTAATGTATGGCAATCGCTTCTTTGATTTTAAAGAACATAACATAAATAAACATAACATACGTAAAATTTAAAAATAATCATACAGAAAGTTTGGGGCTTCTTGGTTTTATCTTATTAAGCAATTGTTATCAGGTAGTAATTGTTAATTTTGAAGTTTAACTTGATATAATGTCATTTTAACAGAACGTCAACGGTTTCTCGTAGACGTATCTGTTTTAAAAAAGTAAAGTGTTCTCGAATAATTGAATTTAAATATTTTAAATAGTTTTTTTCTTTATTCTTTGTATTTTTTTGCTTCCGACGACGGAAAGAGATAAACTTTCCGAAACGTTAAGCATTTTTTTGTTAGGCAAATTTGGGCATAACCGATAATACGCCGATAATGAAAGAGTCGCGTACTTGTTTATATCCGTTTCTATGTTTACGCTGACAGTAGTGAAGGTCGAGTTTTGACAAATATTGCGAATTGATACATGGTTGTCAGATCAGCTAGTAAATTATCCGGAATTTCATGCATCTTTTTTTTAGGGGAAAAAATGACGTCATAGGTTTTAAAATGTTTTTTTAATACAAATTAGATTACTTTAGTTCATCAAATTGGCTGAATTACCGCCACGCCGCGCCGCGCCGGCGCACAGTGCTTCGAACATATGGCTGTAGAGGACAAAAATCCAAAACTTCTCTTTTATTGTAAGCAATTTATTCAAACTAGGTTTATTTGACACAAATGATGAGTACTCCCATTGTACTAAATGATGATGTTCTTAGTCCCACGTTTATGAAAAAAAAATCTTATAAATAATAAAAATATTGGAGCTGTGTTCCATCTAAGCAAATAATAATTTATAGTATGAAAACGGTGTAAGTATTAAATAAATTCCTGTGATAAAAAAGAATTGAAATAACATTAGAACATGATTCCTACAATATAAGCCTAATATAAGATAAAAATGTTTTTGTTTAATGAAAAAGAAACATTAATGTTATATTTAATTAAAAAAAAAACTTAAGATACTATAAATTTACTTTAGGACAACAAAATGCATAGATCGTAACTACTCTGATTCAGAAGAATTACTGCTGACAGAATCTTCCAAATTTATAGTATCCAAATTACAGGTAGATGAAGTATCCTCACATATAAGATATTTCTGTACATCATTTTTTAATATGTTACTTTTTCGCGTTGTTACTGTTCATTTTGTCGCTATGAGGGGTTCGGATGTTAATAGTTACCTCTTTAATACAGCATATCCATATATTATTTTTTCCTTTTCTTGGGTATGAGATTATATAATAAATTGAAAGATGGACACTTTTTTTATGCGACGTTTCGCTCCAACATAGTGGACTTTTTCAGGCACCAGTGGTGTCTCATTTGACTGGAAGGTTCATCAATATCTAATAAGAACATATTTTTTGAAATACAAATAATTTTGAGTTCTTGTCTTTATGATCAAGCCAAGTATAGCCAGATCGGCATTGCTTATCAATTTTACTCCATCTGAAAAGTATTATAAAATAAAGTTCGTCGCAAGCAGACGCAGGTGAACTATACAAAAATTAAAAGTGTATGAATATGGGAACAAAAATATTCAATAAATACGATATGTTTTGATATGTTTTTTTTAAATGCCTTTTTGAAGTTTGAAAACGTAAAATTTTTATACCCATTTAAGAATCATCTTAAAAAATAAATAAGAACTAAACAATCACGAACTTGTTTAGAAATAAATTTAAAGTACATACCTTGTTTAACAATATCCATAGTGGCTTTCAATTAAGTACATACCCGTTTAACTTCATAATATACAGAACTACTATGAATGTTATTCTTTTCACTGATGAGATAATGATCGCAAAATTTATTTTTAGTGAAAATATTTGCTAACAAAAACGCTGTTTATGAAAAATAATATACAGTATGGTTGAACATTGCTATAAGTATAAAATTATATATTCAGATATTAGTAAATTTTAACTTATTTTTTGATTTTTGTCCATGGGACGAAGCACTGTGCGGCGAGACAATTGCTATAGTTATAATAGCCCCAGCAATGAAAACACGCTGTAAGCTGTAAGCCACCAAAGCAAAGAAAACACGCTGTAAGCGTGTTTTCATTTCTTTGGTTTGTGTGTGGCTAGGGTTGAGTTTGTTTGGTATTGGTTGGTTTGGTTTGGTTGGTTTTGTATTGGTTGATTTTGTATAGGTTGGTTAGGGTTTGGTCGGATTGGTTTGCCTTTTTTTTCCTATTTGTCTGTTTGATTGATATTTTGGTTTAAACAGGACGCGTGTTTTGGTTGCTTTTGTTTCACTCTTTTGTTTTTTTAGTTTTCCCATTCACACATTACCAACGCATTTTTATTATTAAAAAAAATATTTTTTCAAAATAAAAATAAAAAATAAGAAAAGAAAATTCCGTGGAACTGGCAACATCGCTTTTCCTTCTGACGCTGTCATGTTAAATCAAGTGTTAAAATTCTCCATAACGTCAAATATGTGTCAAAAACTACTAAAATTAAATTAAAATATTTTAAAATTCTGTGCATAATCTCCATTTATTTTTATTTAAAACTACTACTAAAAAATGGTTACTTTTTTGATAAAAAGAAAAATGCAAAATCGTGTGTCAGGGATAGTTCACCGACCAGCAAATTTGTATAACTGTAAACATAACTTCCTGACAAGCAGTATTTTCTTTGCAGTGCAGTGGCGAAATACCCATAAAGGATTTTTTTTGGAGAAACAGCACTTTTTGTATAAATGTAATAATGTGCAGTTAACTTATTTTATTTCAAGAATTACGTTGTTCTATGTCAACGGAATATTTCATCACAAACTAAAAAATATCTAAACTCACCTCCTTATTGAAGTTTGGTCATGAACTGGTCAAATCAGGTTTCGTCGTCGTACTGCCTCAGATCCCACAGTTCCGGCAGCGATTCCAGAATGGCTTTGATGCCGTTGCCCTTGCCTCAAGAACCGCTGTCGCCCCTACTAATTACTGGTTTGTTCGAGAACAGATCGAGGAGCTGTTCCGTGCCCATCGTCTCCATGTATTGAAACTCTCGCTGATCACCGTGTTCGCTGCCGTTTGTGCCTTTGAACTTTTGTAATCTGAAAATTTGTTTAAATATACAGAGTGTTCTAAATAACAAGGTGTATATTTCCTTACCCCTATTATTTTTTCTTCCAAGGTAGACCGCGTTATGAGTCGATACACATCTCCACAACTTCTTTCTGATTCAATCCTGTGCGCTCTGTCCATCGCCTGAAGATCCTTCATGGGGTTCCAGTCGTGCTCCACAAAAATGACAGTATCTGCACCAGTTAGGTTGAGACCTAGGCCTCCAACTTGAGTGGTCAAAAGAAGAACATCTATCGATGGGTCATTATTGAAACTGAAAAAGCAAAGTTTGTTACCTTAATGACGTGATCAGAATTAACATAAACAACCGCCCGCGGGCGTAGTGTCTACCTTTGGTGTCTACAAAAAATACCCTCATCCGGCGGTATAATATCGTCCACGCGCCAAATTTGAATATTAGTTTTAAAAATTTAATTTGTAAAATACATATATTTGAACAATAAATTGAATGTTTACTATCACAAAAAATTAAATTATATAAAAAATACATTTAGCCACTTTGAACGAATATCAATATTCAGGAAATCTAACCAGAAAGTATGCCATGTGGTTTAATATAAATAAAAGAGCAACTGAATACTTTACTTGCCTATGAAAAGATAATTCGGGGGCCTTTATATTAGAACTTCCAGACACCAAACACTTTCTAGTCATTTTCATGAGTATTTAGAAAGTCCAACGAAAAAAATAGAAATATAATTGAACAAACTTAAAATTAATTTCTCACTGAACACACTTGCATTCTTGGCGATCAAAAAGCGGTCGATAAAAGAGTAATTAATATAATTTTTAAAATAAAACCCCAAAAAACAAGCGTCGCTACACACTGGAGATAGGATTATGAATTTGGATCACAAAACATCCCCATTTAGAACTTTTTCTTTAATGGCCATGAGCGGGAGTAAAAGACCAACCGCCCGCGCCCGAACAAACACTAGAGGCGCCACCGGTCATCAAATGGTGTAAAAATTGCGAAAATTTAATCATCTAATTTTGACACAGAGGTCGCGCTTATCTTTTTTATTTTAATTTTAATTTTAATTCAATATTCATTGTTTTCAAACTATATTATTAAACATTGTTGTATTTTGTAAATGTATAAATGTTTTCTTAATATAAAGTTGCATTATATTAATTTAAATTATATTACATACATATTTAAAATTCAAATATTATGACATATATGTCAGTTGCCGTCTAAAATGTCATCTTGATAACAAAAGGTTAGTTATTGTCAGAAATAGTTAAAATCCTGTTAAAATATTAAAATTTACAAGTTATAGTTAGATATTTTATATTATTTCTAAAACAAAAACATAATGGTACCGCGTAATGTTGATATGCAGGTCCAAAACAAAAAGTGCCTTTATATTTTTCAGTTTACGTTGTCAGCCGCGGAAGTTTCAGTGATTTTAGAGTTGTCGGATATTTTTATTTGTGAAATAGAAATATTGCAAAACTAAAAGTTAAAGTTTTATTGCAATGTAAGTAAGCGTTTGTCCATTTTATATTTTACTTTTTTCATACCTATACGACAAATATACAACATATATTGAAATTTTATAATTCGTTTTATTTAAAAAATGTTAGAAAACAAGCTTGTAATCCTATAATTAACATAATTGTTATGTAATATATTCCATTTAAATGTAATATATTACTTTATAATTAAAAACATGTAAATTTAAAAAATATATTAAAAATTTATACAGGCATTAATTGAAATTTTTAGTGTGCGAATAAACACGAGAGGCGCTTTATTATTTACTTTCATTTCTTAACATGACAGACGAAGTTCTAAAGGGGATTAATTTGTGATTTGGATTATGACAAGATTATGACAATATGATGACAATGAAAAGTGGGTTTCCATAACAATGTATAATTTGTACCGTATGATCGAATAAAAACGGCGTCAACGATGGCTATGAAATGAAGATCGCTGTCATTTTATATGTAAAATTATATGGGAAATGTCATTGATCGTCATTTCCAAGCCAACTGGACGCCGTTTTTTTTCGATCATACGGTACTTTCTAAACCGTATAAAATTGTGTTTATTTTGGAAATACGTACAACTTTTAATCTAAGCTTTTAATGCGCATGCGCAAAGTAAGGTCCTCGGAAAAGACAAACCTATTGAACGTTTCATAAGTGCAATAAAGAAGGTTTGAAAACAGCATGTCGTGATGTTGGAGACATCGTTTTAAATGCTAATTATATGGCTTGTATACATCCACGTAAGTATATATATATAATCTAGGGATTGTGGATAAAATTGTGGATTGTGACTTAAAAAGTTACGTGAGAAGAACTATAGTTGGGCTATAGTTCTACGACAAACAAAAACTTACCGTGTAACAACCGAATGTCTCATAACAGGCGGCACCGACCCGTCCAGCCTCAAATACGTCACGTTGGGCATGTGCTTCTTGAACAGATCGTTCTCTATAATGTCCAGCATCGCCTTCAACTGACAGAACACCAAAGCCCTGTGCTGATTGATCACGATCTCCGATTCCTTGTAAATACCGTTGTCTAAGTTGGTACCGATATCGCAATCGTTCAGCAATTGTTTTAGTGCCGGCAGTTTGGCCGAATGTGCGATGTCTTCGAGTTTAGAATTGTGCTGTTTCAACTGGGCGATTATGTGTTGGTACTGGGGATGGGTGGGGTTTAAGACGAGTTTCGGATGGTTGCATACGTTCTGGAGGTAGCGTAGGGCTTGGAATATGTGGGTGTTGCCTTGCATGGAGCTCGCAGTGGCTCCGGAAGATATAGAGTCCTGGAATTCAAATTTTTAAAATGTAATAGTATATCAATATATTTATAGTTATAAAATGGGAAACAAATTTCTTGCCATTTAACTGCTAATATAGAAATTCATTTCCGCACTGTGTTTGTCATAATGTGGATCAACCTGCTCTCACTACCGGTTTCGGAGCCCTACTCCATCATCAGGTGAGCTTGGGTCGACTCCACAAAATGACAAACACAGCGCAGAGCACCTAATTCCGACTTGTCGGAAAGTAGTGGTTAGATATTAAGTCCCGCACGGGAGATAGCGGTCTGCGTGCTATTATATTATAATTTGGCTTTCCTGAAAAAAACCCTTTTTACTATCGATAGTTGCGCCTCGGTGATACGAAAGTACTACCATTGCACGCAGGCCGCTTCTATAATTTTTTTATTTTTTCAGATAAAAAAACCAGACTTGGTATGTTAGTACATGACATAAATTAGGATGATTGACGCATTCAATTGTTTTTGGTCACTTCCTGTTTCACCGGAAATTACTACAACTTTTGATTTTTAAATGGGACCATCAGTATTTTTCGACTTTATTTGATAGAGAGATAGACACCCTCAATAGAATGACATATTATCATGTCAACTTTTGACATTTTCGCTTTAAAAAAATCGTATTTCAAATTTCAATCTAAATTTTTAGTCAAGGAGCCTTGGAAAAATAGATTTGATGGTCTAACGTTTTTTGTATCTTATCCTGGCCCGGCCGGTTAAAAGATACCCAAATCGTATTTTTAATCATATCTCAATTTTTTTCAAATGGAATGAGGGTGGCTCATTAGCATCTTTGGAAAAAGAATTTTGTTACGAATAATTTGGTACCACACACTTGGTATTTCGAGTCAAATTGTCCTTATGAACCGAATGTTACAATTTCAAATAAACCATATGAGAAAATGTCAAAAAAGTTGACATATGATATGCCATTCTATTCAGAGTGTGATTTTGTATTGAATAAAGTAAAAAAATACTGAGGGTGCCATTTAAAAATCAAAAGTTGTAGTCATTTCCGGCGAAACAGGAAGTGACCGAAAACAATCGAATACGTCAATCAATCCTAATTTATGTCGTATACTAACATACCAAATCTCATTTTTTTCTCTGAAAAAGTTATAGGGGTGTATCTACATTTTGTTTAGTGATTTGCTAAATATAGTAATATTTCTTCGAAAGCATGTACTAATTATAATATGCACAAATCAAGTTAAAAGTATAAAATACAATAGAATAACACCACCACTGGATCTTTCAATACTAGTCAATATTTGTACTATTTCCAGAGCATAAAACTGGAGGTAGCATTGACCAATGGAAAACGTTATACGTATTTTTTAGAACTACCATGGCGTAATTTTCTTCAGGAGGTATATTTGTATATCTGAAACTCACCTGTAATGTCTGATGAGCTTGTGACTTAGAAAAGTCTTCATAAAGTTGTTCCTGTAAAGGACTCAGTTCGCAATAATAATCCTGAGTGATTTTCGGAGGTAGATCAGCCAAAACGTCCTCCTTCATTCTTCTGAGCAAAAATGGCAGTACTTGTCTGGAAATTTAACATAATAAAGTACAAATAAAAATTAGAAGCAATAAAAGCATAGATGTAGATTGTATGGGAGGAGGAAACTTAATCACCGCGACCTTATAGATCCATTGTGATCCCCCTTTTTTGAGTTAGAACTTATCATACAGTCTTGGGGATTTGACAAAGCCAGTATCTGAGACGGTTTTACAGAGGTTAGTTCTTCGATATCAGTCGTACCAACGTTTATGGCATGAATGATTGTCGTCTTGGCGCACTCAGTGAAGAGGTGTTCGGTGTTTCCCCATTTTCCCTACAGAATTTGCATTCGCGGATGGTTCTTAGCTTTAATCTACTGAGGTATTCACTGAGAAGACAGTGTCCTGTTAAAAACCCCGTGAAAAGCCGAAGATTGTTCTTACAAAAATGAAAGAAAATCTTTGATTTTTCTATGTCTTAAGTCCTGAGAAATTTTTTCGAGTATCTTAGACCGTCTACAATCTACATCTACACTAAAGCATAAGAGATTCTGAATAAATTACCTATGCAAAGCTTCCATAGCCAAAACCCCCGCCTCCTGATCCTTCGGTGAACACTTTGGATCCCTGCTAGCCAATATAGGGCGAGAATATTTCGCAGTGAACTGTTTCTCCGTCCCCAAAAACCCGGGCATCAGAAAATCAAACAAGCTCCACAGCTCCAACACGTTATTCTGTATGGGCGTGCCGCTCAGTATCAATCTGTGGTTCGCTACCAAATGCTTGATGGCCAGGCTGGTTCTTGTTTTGCCGTTCTTGATGATGTGCCCTTCGTCCAGGATGACGTAGTTCCATTTGATGTTGGAGAAGAAGTTGTTGTCTTTGCGCACGATGTCGTATGAAGCGACAATGAGGTTGTATTTTTTGAATTTGCCGCGCAATTTTTCGCGCTCGACGGGGTTTCCGTTGTACTGGAGCGGCCTGAGGTGTTTGTGGCTGACGAATTTCTCCACCTCGTAAACCCAGTGTCCTGGAAAATAAGATAAAAATTAACTTCATATAATTAAGTAATATGTTATACAGGGTGAGTCTTAAATAAGTGCGAAATCTCGATAAAAGAAACATATTTTCTCTTTACCGTTTTTCAAATAAATCTAAAATAAACGAGATATTTTACTTTGAAATTTTTCAAAAAAATTATTTTTTGCTAAAATTTTGAGAACCGCTGGATCTTTTCTGAATTTTCTTTCTTGTAAATTTAATCTCCTAGCTACGTTGCCATATTATCGTCAAATTATATTTTTTAACTAAAAAATTTTTCAAAAAATTCCAAATTTTCAAATTGTTTCGCGAAAAAAAACTCATAATCGTGTTTCTGAGGTCGAAATATACTACCCCTAAAAATATTTGCACTTATTTAAGACTCATCCTGTATAGTAACACAGATTAAAGGTGAATTTTCATACATCCGTCATCCGTTGATACATCCGACTGAGCTCTGATTGGTTATAGTGTTTTCGCGCCTCTTTTTATCAGTAAAATGTTAAAACTGTCCTTCAACCAAGAAAGTTAAAATAAATTTAACTTTGTGTACGATAAAAGATGTTTTGAAAACTCTAACCTAACCTTACTTTTCTGTTGATAAATTTCCGAAATTTATCAGGAAGTAGTTATTCTCTTTCCTGTTTATACCGAGTGCGCCTCAAAAGTGGCTCATTTCTATAACTTTTTTATTTTTTCATTTTTACTTTATTTGATAGAAAATAACACTCTGAATAGAATGACATATCATACGTCAACTTTTGACATTTTAGCTCAAAAAATAATCGTATTTTAGATTCCAATCTATAGTGCCTGGACCATGTTAAAAACACTAATCAACTCAAACTTTTTAATCAAGGAGCTTTGGAAAAATAGATTTCATTGTCTATTGTTTTTCGTGTCTTGTCCTAGCCGGTAAAAAATATGCCGAAATCATATTTTTAATCATATCTCAATTTTTTCAAATGGAACAAGGGTGGCCCATTAACATATTTGGAAAAAGCATTTTTTTAACATTTTTTTACGTATAATTTGGTACCACACACTTGGTATTTCGAGTCAAACTGTCGTTATGAACAGCATGTTACAATGTCAAATAAACCATATACAAAAATGTGATATGCTGTGATATTTGCAGAAACACCATTAGGCAATAATTGTAATTTTTAGTACGCGAACAAACACGAGAGGCGCTTTATTTACTTCAATTTCATTTCTTAACACGACAGACCAAGATAGTGCTAAATGGGGATGTTTTGTGGTCTTACCTGTCAAAGTAGGAGGACAAACCACCAACGAAGGCAGGGGAGAACAATCCGCCGACTTGCTCTCTCTATACTTCTGCTCCCTGTAGTAATGATCCCCCGCCAAAATACAGATACTCTGCAACGTCTTCCCTAACCCCATATCGTCGCACAATATCCCGTGCAGTTTGTACTTGTTAAGAAACGCCAACCAGTTCACCCCAGCTTGCTGATAACTCCTCAACTCGGCCGCTATAGGTACCGGTATGACGTAGTTCGGTATCGAAGAAGGACAGAGCAACTGCTGGAGGAATTCGCGTTCTTTGTCCCTCTTGGCGCTGAGCACGCTGTCTTTTAAAGCTGGAGGTTCGGGAACGCCTCCGTCCAATGGCATTAGTTGCACCAGGGTGGCAAAGCTGTGGGTGCCGGTTAGTCTGACGGAGGAGTTCTGATCGGACATGCGCCCGAGCAAAGGTACGACGAGTAGCACTACGAAGGGGATGATGTCGAACTGCAAGGTGTCGACTATGCAAGCTATGGCTTCGACGGCACCTTGGCGGTCCGTATCACAGTCTGTGGCTCCTAATTTAGGTAATATCTGCAAGAAAAAATGTAAAAATTAAAACATTTTATTGTATTGGGTTCTTTCTTTATTGTAGGACACTTTGCACTCTCTTGTTTGCGCTTTTTGCATATGATTATTCTTTAACTGTCCTGCTTTATCCACGAAGTTTATAGTACATATCTAAATCTTGAATGCAGGGGCGCCTCGTCAGGGTAGGCAAGGTAGGCGGCGCCTACCCTACAATTTTGTCACAATTTTAGCGGTTTATTACATTACATTATTTACTATTAATGTTGCCAATACATAAAAATACTGTTAATACACGCAAGTGTGTTGTAATAATCAATATTAATTTATCATTTTTTATGGTCTTGTATATTAAAATATTCACTACCCCTGCCGTACATTGACTGCGGCACTGCGTTAGAAAACAAAATAATTTTGACCGTTGGAGTATACTGCAAACGCCTTTGTTCGGCGATTTCTACATCACCTGTTAAAGTAGATGCACGACGTACGGCAGTAATTACGGCGATTTGTTTACATTGCCCGAGCATATTATAACTTTTAGATAAAAATCTCTGTTATAAATTTTAAAACTGACAGATATGAATACTATCATTTAATTAGTTATACATGTAGTTACAATATATTCAAAATTTAGGTCTATCGGTTTATGCTAGCAGTAATAACGAGTATAAATAAAAAAATGGTCAGTACAACGCTCGCCGTTTTTAGCGCACGTTCAGCTTTGGGTTTAGTTTTAGTGTTATTTTTACAGAAAATAAATTCTGAATTTTGATCAAATGACAAGAACATTATCATTGCCGATATCTCCTGGTTATAGTGTAGTCCTTTTTTCAAAATATTGCATTGTTTTAGCTTAAAAAAAACTTGAATTATGCGGCTTTTCTTGCGAGAGCTACCGGAGCTGCGTTACTAAAGAGATGGCTATGTACGTCAACCATAGCCACAATAGACTTAATTTTACCTCGTCACGAGATTTTTTGGAAATATTGCACTTCCATTTATGCGGATTTCTACTAACTTTTGACCTTTCTTTTCGGTCGCATTTCCTTCTATTTAATACTAAATAATTAAAAAAAAAACGCACAAATACTACTGGTAGTAAACAAGCTGTAGCAAAAAATTTTTATACTCCGTGTATAAATGCGTAATTACTGCCGTAATTTTTTGTACTCCGTGTTCTGTCTCTGTCTAACTCATCGTGCGATAGCGACGCGACGTAAGTCTGAGTTGTTTTGTATTAAAGCGGGGCTTAGGCGAAATCTTCGTTCGCCTTTGCACTTTGCATGAAGTCGCGGGGGCTCGGTAGGCTTAGAAGTTACGGGGATATTTCGTCCCGATATTTCATATGATTCATTATACATAGCATTTAAAACTTTTATATGAAAATTAAAAAAAAATACAGCAAATTGGAAACAGTTTTCGGGCTTGTCCAAGACTATTCAAAATTATATAACCGGTTGTATTTCAGAATACGACACAGAACTAATAGAATCCGAAATAAAAAGCGCCTTATTTTATTCCGTGTAAGCAGACGATACAACAGATATTACAGAAAGGTCTCAGTGTGCTATTTCAATAAAAGGGATGAAGTCAATTATTGGGAAAACTGGAAATCGTCAGATTTTCACCAAAATTGGTGTACACCCTATTTTGAGGTCGTAGATTAGGAATCTGAACTTTTTTCTTGGCGGTCTCTTACCGTTTTTCAGAAAAACGTAAAACTATTTCAGCATCGAATTTTTCTTAATTTCTCATATTTTTATGGTTTTCTAGCACATATTTTGTTAGGTATTCAATAAACAATAATGTTGTTGCTATTTTCTGTTACTTTTTTAACCAATTCCATGCATAATAGGGGAAAATTTGCCAAAATAAATTTGTAAACAATCTGAAAATGTTGGGTTATGTGTTTCTGGCATTTAAAGCAACGTTGCCAATGCTAAACCTAAATTTAGCGTGTTTTTTTCGCTCATTCTGGGATTACGAAAGGCGGTCGCCAGTCGCCAGAAGAACGGCTCCTTCCCATAATTGCTATTTTACCAATGAGATCTGACTATCTTTAACCACGAAGTTGCACGAAAGAGTTTTTGATTGCATTGGTTACAACTTCCATGCGGAGGGTGTTAATCTTTTGTTGTTATATTATATCAAAAAAAGATTAACCACCTCCGCAACCACCAATGCAATCAAAACTCTTTCGTGCAACTTCGTGGTTATAAATAGTCTTTATATAACTTCTTTGCGGAGGGGGTTAATCTTTTTTTGATATAATATAACAACAAAAGATTAACACCCTCCGCAAAGAAGTTGAAACCAATGCAATCAAAACTCTTCCGCGTAACTTTGTGGATATAAGTAGGTATATTTAATTATTGTCGATCTCATAATAGGTAATTTATTTAAAGTCCCTAATCACCCGAAAAAATAGAAGATATGGCAACATTGTAAACGTTGTAAATTTTCATTCTAGATTAGGTCTAGAATATATTTGTCTCTCTCATTACATAGGAGAGAGAAACAAGGATATATCAAATGTCGAACTTCCATCTGGTCTCAATTTTCATTGTTATTTTGTTAAGAAAAGTGTTTTTCAGTAAAATTTTGGACATTTTTCTATCCCCAATCAAGTGTGGCTTTTAGATAAACTATAATATAATGAAAATATAGTGAAATTATTACTTTATAGGGTCGAAATAAAGAAAAATTCAATGTTGAAATAAGTTTCCGTTTTTCTGAAAAACGGTAAGAGACCGCCAAGAAAAAAGAATCGTAATCTACGACCTCAAAATAGTGTGTATACCAATTTTGGTGAAAATCGAACGATTTCCAGTTTTCCCAATAATTACCAAAACTTCTTTGCGAATTTTATTTTATTTTTTAGAAATAAGCTTTGCAGATATGTCTCAATTGTTTTTATTTATCTATTGCTAATTCACAGAAATTTAAAGAATTTAACAAACTTTTACCGCAATGTTTTTACCAACATAAATTAATGAATAAAATGCAGGTGTTAATAATAGATATGAGTCTCGAAATATATATGTATATGATAAGGGAATCTGTTTTTCTTTGTAAATTTAATTGTCTATATACTTACCAATTTTTAAGTTTGCCTAAATAAGTAAAAATAAAATAAAATCTATGATGTATGTAAAAATTAGGAGATAAAAAAACATATACTTGTACATTATGTCATTACGTTGAATGCTGTTATTTTTGCTTTAGTTTTGTTCTAAATATTCTTAAACTATATTCTTAACCCAGAGATAACATATATTTACGAACTGGGGTTACGGTATTATGTAAATTTAGGGGGGGGGGGAAATAGACGCGACTAAAAATTTGTCACCTACCAAGTCCCACGGGTCACGAGTCGCCACTGCTTGAAGGCAACGTATAATATTAGCATAAAAATAATGCTCCTATAAGGCTAGTATACCGGGTGGTGCATCGGCGTTGGAAACAAAGGAAATCCCATGCAAATTTTGAACTGTCCAAATATTGGCTCCCCTGTTAATTTTACACCGAAGTTGTAAATAGGTTTCTTAAAAGCCTCTATGTAAAAGTAAAAAAATTGTTTCGTTTGTAGTGCCGCCGAAGTGTACAAGATGCCGAAGCAGCTTAACAACCGTTGCAAAAAACTCATCGCAACTTAATTAGAATATTTTAAACGGGAAAGCGTTAATAATGAGCCTTTATGTCCCTCATTGCTGTTAAGGAGGAGAGTTTTGTTGATGTAAATAATAACTGTTTGTATATTTATAATTAATTAATTTTTTTGTCGAAAAATGTTTTATTTAAAGGAAAATATGTAAAAGTCGGTAAGGCTAATTTTTAGTCACGTGATTAAGCTTGACCTGCTTAATCACGTGACTAAAAATTTATTTGGAATGATCTATATTATGATTATTAGTTACATAAAAAATACTAACCTTACTAACTACTAACTCCATAACTCTAACAGAACTAAGCTTCGCAAACACCGCCAAACATCTTGCAGCCAAATGTCGAACAGCCCGGTACGGATGAGACAACAGCACACACAACCTCTCCAACGTCAAATCCATCAACGGCAACAGCAAAGAGGCGTGCAAACTCGGAGTTGTCACTTCCAACACCTGCAAATCCCACACCAGCTGCTGCGCTTCCTTGTCTTTATCTCTAGCAGGATTAAAGGTTTGTGGATCAACTGTTTGAACCAACTGACCTACTATCAATTCCCAGAGTTTCGGCAATTTAACCGGAAGTTCCGATCCAAAGTAAGAAGTTATAGCTGTCAGTGCTAAACTAGCTCCTCTACGTTGGATTCTGTTCAGTTTCTGAGGCTCGTCGTCTTTTAGAAGTTCTTCCATCGGCACCTCATTGATGGGAGGTCTTCTAGGTCCCCTTCCAGTACTGTTTGACCTCCTAAACATGGCACACTCGGCGTTTCTCTGTTCATTGATCAAGGTCACTATCCCGTTGTAGTTGTCTCTTTTCCAGGACTCTTGCACCTCACTTTGTTCCTGAGCGGTATATATTTTCGGAGTGTATTCAGGGTCGCATCTAAGGAAGGTACAAAGATTCGTGAGTACTTTTTCGTTAGGGCATTGATCCCTCTCACGACATTGGTCCAATAAAATGGCCAGGTGATGCGCGCTGACTTGTTGAAGTAATTCTTCAGGCTCGTACTTGACAGAGTCCATCAAAGGTTTTATCACAGGGTTAAGTTTTTCGGGTAAAGCTCTAAACATAGCTATGGCACCAGATAACGCGGCTTTCGTGCTTATCGTCAGCGATTTCTGCTCGTTAGTAGTTTGCACGACCGAGTTCTGAATCGACCGTCTTCTTTCTTGCAGACTTTCCAATATCTTGGGCTTCATTTTGAAACTGACTAGAATGTTCTCGGTGTCTGAGTTGGTCAGATGCTCGATGAGAGGTAAGGTTAGGGGTTGATCGATGTTGATTTGGATGGGGACTTTGTAATGGCGTAGAGTGGCGAGGAAATCACGCGTTTCTTGAGCTAGTTTAGTAAAGCTGTGCGCTATTTCGTCGAAGTAGATGATCTCGTCTTGGCATTGGTGTAAGCGCTGTTTTAAGTTGGGCGGGCAGTCTTGGATTTCTGTGTTGAGTTTGGCCCATTCGGATATAACGAGACCTGGAAGAAACCAAATATACGAGGTGTTTACTAAGTAAAGTAAAACTTTTTAAGGGATGATTAACTATGGCAGAAAGGGAAGACTGGATAAATAGTGTACCCATTTAAGCTGGGGCAACCTGGTATACAGCTTAAGAACGTCGGACGGCGTAGAAGCTGGAATAGTAGGGCCGAAACAAAGGATATCTTTCCCATTAAGCCTATACAGGGTGGTCCGAACTGTATTCCGGAAAATTCGGCAGCATATTCTGCAGATAAAAATAAGTAAAAAATTTGTATAAATGTGTGTCCTAAAATGCTTAGTTTCGAAGATACAGGGTGTAGAAGTTTCATTTTTATTCCCATTTTTTCCAAATAATTTCTGGAGTGACGTCAATATTTCGATGAAAATTGGTGTCATTGGTGAAAATGTGGTGATTTTTGAAGTGAAAAATTTGATTTTGATATCAATATGACTCCTATTTGTAGTGGGCGCCACCTACATGTGTTTTAACCTTTGAATAAGAAGACTAAGGAAGGAGCATATCAAAAATCTTAGGTACACGGCGATGGGCCTCAAATATGGCCGACTTAAATTCCGGTTTATCAGTGCCGTTCTAGTTTTATTTAAAAAATGTAAAACTATGATGTAGGGTAGACGTGGGGTAAACTCAATAATTTGTTGTTTTATTTTACGTTGTGAATAAATGTTGGTAGTTATTAAAATTGTTATAAAAATATATAATTCTAGTAAAAATAGATAAGTTATAATAAGTATTTATTAACACAAACATCCGATACGCTACTGAAGCAGGTAAGTCAAATTAACGTATCAAAATTCTTTGACATCTGAGCTTTGACAAGTAGTAAATAAAAAGCTAAAATGCAAGAAAAATATATAATTTAGTTAATTTAAGTGAATTTCATAAATGATCTGTTTACTACACGTATGTATATTATATAGTCACTTACTAGCGAAAGTTGTTCCATTATTTCACTCAATTTTTGCCGAGATCTACCGCACGCTACACAACCAACTATTTTAGAGTCTTTTTCGATAAATCGCGATAGTGTCACTGTTAATTTAAGTTCTGCCACAATTTCCATCTAGATTTACTACCTTTATACAACTATCAGTAGTAGAATAAATATTAAATAACATAAAATAAGCTCCGTAAAGACTGACAAATCCACAAAATTTCAAATCAAATTCAAATGTGTCAAATGAATCGTCAAACAGAACTGTCAAGGATCCCCACCCTAGAGTGCTTTTTCCGCCCACCATGCATGAATACATGGATAGCATTATGCTCCTTCCTTAGTCTTCTTATTCAAAGGTTTTAACTGTTTTGAAGAGTAATAACTTTTCGACCGTACCTGTATAAAAGTACTTTGTGAAGAAATATACATTTCCGTGATTTTTACGTAAAAATGTATCTTAATGAAAATTGTTACGAGCAAGCGTTCTCAAGATATTTAGAATAGAAATAGTCAATATATGTCATTATTGCCAAAAAATAAACATGTTGAGTAGATAGTTATTTGACTGAAATTATAAATTTGGGAACTTCTCATATTTTTAAATTAATCATAAATTTTTTCTTCGAAAAATGATGATAAAACAGTTTCTGTTGTACTTTTGCCACAAAAACATTTCAAATTTATGATTTCAGTCTAATAACTATTTAGTCAACATGTTTAATTTATGTCAATGATGAACTGTATTGATAATTTCAGTTCCAAAATATCTGAGAATATTAAGCTTGATTTTCATGCATCAGTTGTCCGACGATACGTGGATACGATATTAATTTCATTGGTTATATATAAAGACTTCGATTGGTTAACCGTTTCTAACCAATCAAAGTCTTTAAATTCAACCAATAAAATTAATATCGTATCATCGTATCGTCGGACAACGGATGCATGAAAATCAAGCTTTACTCGTAGCGATTTTACCAAGAGACTTTTACGTAAAAAAATGTCGTAAATGTATTTTTTTTACTCAGTAGTTTTATACAGGTACGCACGAAAAGTTATTACTCTTCAAACCAGTTAAAAACATATGTAGGTGACGCCCTCTACATGTAGGAGTCATATTCACATCAAAATCAAATGTATCATGTCAAACAACTACCAGATACCAATTTTCATCCAAATATTGACTTTACTTCAGAAATTATTTGCTAAAATCGAAATAAAAATAAAACTTCTACACCCTGTATCTCCGAAACTAAGCATTTTAGGACATAATTTATACAAACTTTTTACCTATTTTTATCTGTACATATACGTCGAAGTTTGTGGAATACAGTTCGGACCACCCTGTATAAGGATGTTACAAGTTTCAATTTTCCAAGCAGAAATAACTGAAATCCACTACTGTGTGAAGAAATAATAAGGCAACAAAGAACACATCTTTCAGTGACCATCTTCACAGACAGCCAAGCAGCGCTAAAGGCACTAAGCTCCACGGGGGTCAATTCTAGACTAGTGTGGGATTATGTGTGTGCTCTAAACACATTGGGCGAGCATAGTAACGTTACGTACGGTATCAGGGTCACAAGGGTAACGAAAAAGCAGATGAATTGTCCAAATAAGGTCATGAAAGTCATTAATACAATTAAAAACCGAAAGGCCGAAAACTCTTCTGCGGCGTTGTAAAAGCAGTCATGAGAATGGCCACAAAACGGTGAATGCCCAACAAGTCTCTAGTTCATAATAAAGCATTCGCCAAAATTCACAGCAGACCTACTAAGCAACGACAGAAAAACTGCCAAAGCTGTAGTAGCTCTACTAACAGGGCATTGTAAGCTGAATAGGCATATCAGGATTGACGGAAGAAGCCATGTTCAGGTTCTGTCAATCTGCAGAAGAAACGACAGGGCACACTTTATGCCGGTGCGATAGCCTGGCAAATGTACGATCCTTGGTACTGGACAAGGACAGGTCATTGATAAAGACATATATGGAGGATTAGTCTCCAAGGTGCTAGACTTTTTGAAAAAGATTGGAAGAACAGGCTGGAAAATATAACCTAAGGATCAGACCAGAACCACAATAGATGTGAAAAGGTCCTAGAGGTACACTTCGAAAAATCTAATCTAGTCTAAGGGATTATTCATTTATATGTAACAGACTATAGTCATAACAATCAAATTTAATGTTATAATTACCTGTAACTAGTCTCTGTAGTGCAGATTTCGAATTCAAATGAACGAGCAGTACTTTTTCGTAACAGTCTATTGGTTTCTCTATGCCCTGAGTATAAATCAGCCCTGGAGCAGGTTTCACTATGTAACAGGATAGTAATCCCAGCATCCGCGTGGCCATACATCGGACTTGGACGCTGTTAGCTTCTCTTGTTGCAATGGGAGTTGTTTCACCACCTTAAAATAAATTCTATAAGCTGTCTAAATAATATCATATACCCATATGGTTTAAACCAAAGTTAACACATTTGAATGGTACTTGATTATGTCATACATACCTCCTATAAAATATTTGGAATGGCCGATTGTATGGTCAAAATTATTCAGGACATTTCCAGTCTTTCTTTGAGTTTTTGCTTGAATAAACAGGTTATTGTCAAATAGTACCTTTATGGGTTGCATGGTTAAAAACAACCAAACGGTTATGAATGGACAAGCCGCATGTAGCAGCTCGACTAAGCCGGAGTTTTTTACTAGGTTACTCCAAACTTTCTCTGCTACGTCTCTAACCTAGAAATAAAAACTCTAAAGTGGTACTAAATTAAATCATCTTTCATTAATCCAAAGTTACAATAATTTCCACATAAATAACATAATAAACAGGTTATCAAATATGCATGCTCGGTGGTCAATGTGCATGCTCGGTGGTCGAAATTGGTCTGTTTTAACAGAGAAAACTTATTTCCTGACCAGATAGAGCAAAACGGATATAGATGTCATGGGCTCGATTTCTGAGACACGTTTAATGGCGTAAACCGCCTGTTGATATTTTCACTGCCAACTGAGATACGGGGTATTTTTTAATTTTTTACCATTTTGAAAATTGCTCATAACTTTTTTATTTTGCGGAATAATAAAATTCTGTAAAAACATACTTGAGGCACTTTTTTAAGCACAATCCAGTGGCGTAGTCAGTTTTTTTCTATGCATGCTCTTTTTGTCACAAATAATGAAAAATATAATTTTTTAAATGGAAATCATAGTTGGCTATGATCTTAAAAAAATGCTGGCGTTTAACCCTTTTCAACGATATAAAGTTAGGGATATCTATTTCTTAGAATGAGAGAAATATTAGGTTTTTTATCTTTATATCGAAGTGGGCCTTGATTTTGTGTTGACCTATGTGCCCTCGTATGTGCCTAATTATTTTTTATGTCAATTTAATATTCAATATTATCTGCATAATTAAAGACTTTTGGAAAGGTAAATTAACATACTATATTAGTATTCGTAATTACAATTGAACTCAATACAATAAACAAAGAACAAGACTAAAAAAACGTATTTTTTTGTGTGGCAAATATGGTTTTCTAAAGAAAATCATCAAAGATGTTCAAACTGAGCACCTCCTTGTTGAATACACAATAAACATCTTTTCCGCACATAGTTACAACGATTTATTAGGCTAGAGTAACTAGCCTAATAAAGTAAACTAGTAACTAGAGTAATAAGTCCAAAAACTTTCCTAGTTGCCTTCTGCAATTCTTCTCTCGTCCCAATGGTTCTTCCCTGATAGATAAGGTCTTTTAATTTCCCCCATAAAAAAGTTGAAAGGAGTTAAATTACAGAACCTAGCAGGCCTAGATATGGGGCTCTTTGTTCCAATCCAATTCTCTCTAAATTCTCCATTTAATAGTGCAGTTGTAACCCTAGCCTTTTAATTGTAAATGGTAATATACTAATATAGAATGTTGATTTACCTTTTCAAAAGACTTTAATTATGCAGATAAATAATAATATACGATATTAATTTGTGATAAAAAATAATTAGATTCATTAGATCAACACAAAATCAAGGCCCGCTTCGACACAAAGATAAAAAACGTAATATTTCTCTCATTTTTAGAATTAAATACACATAACTTTATATCGTTAAAAAGGGTTAAACGCCAGCATTTTTTTAAGTTCATAGCCAACTATGATTTCCATTTAAAAAATTATATTTTTTATTATTTCTGAAAAAAAAGCAAGTATAGAAAAAACTGACTACGCCACTGGATTGTGCTTAAAAAAGTGCCGTTTTTACAGAATTTTATTATTCCGCGAAATACAAAAGTTATGGGCAATTTTCCAAATGGTAAAAAATTAAAAACGACCCCGTATCTCAGTTGGCAGTGAAAATATCAACAGGCGATTTACGCCATTAAACGTGTCTCAGAAATCGAACCCATGAGATCTATGTCGGTTTTGCTCTATCTAGTCAGGAAATAGGTTTTCTCTGTTAAAACAGACCAATTTCGACCACCCTGTATATTTGATACCAATTAAACTTTTAGTTACGTAATCGAGGGCGGGATTTTTAAATTCATTGTTACCAACCATGGACATATTCGGCGCTGGGATGACTAACTGGAATTTCAATTTCCCGCTGGGGATTTAGGTGGTAGCTCTACTGTAAAAAAATTGCCACATTTTCCTGACATTGTCATTCGTTTTGACACTTTAGTTTTGCATTGACACTTGAGTTTTTGGTTTAAATAAATTTGTTGTGATACATTGTTGTTTTTAGAACCTCTTTTAGAGCAAAGTGTACAAGATAGCTCAATAGCTGTAAAAAATCATCGCAACTTTATTAGAATATTTTGAACGAGAAAGCGGTAGTTATGGCCCTTTATGTCCCTTAAGTGCTGTTAAATAGTTTTGTTGATGTAAATAATAACTAACTGTTTATATATTTATAATTAATTTAATTTTGTTTCCTAAAATATTTCGATTAAAAGAAGATATGTAAACGTGGGCGACGGTGTGCCGGCCAAGCTTAATAACGTGACTAAAAGTTTATTTGATATGAACTGTAATTTATAAGTTACTATAATTAATTTTAATTAGAAGGTAATGACTTCAACACTTACCTCTGCTATTGGCTCGACCAAAACCCTCTGAAAAATATGTCGCATCGCGTCTTGCAACAGCTGGGCTTCCCAGAATATAATGGACCCGTCAGCAGGACGCTCTGTCAATGTGCATAGCGTCTGCAAAGTCGCCTTGCGCACAGATGAAGTACTGTGAGAAAGGAAGGGCCAGAGTCTAGGTACTACGTCATTGAGCGGTTGGGACGGTAAGAGAGATTGAGCTTGAGGTAAATTGAGAATGGCGGCCAGCAGGCCCATGAAACTGTTACAGGCAGCAGCTAGTTCGTCTTGTTCGGATAGTAAGTCCCATAGTTTGGTGATTACCTAGATGTAAAACAATATGCAATTATACTAATACAAAAGGTGACAAAGACTTTTTGAAGTGAAACTTCTTTACGCGCGTTGGGAGTAAAAATTCAAGGCCGTGACACATGAGCTAGCGTCAGTAAAAGTGATAACGATCGAAAGTTACGACGAAGCGTCGTAACTCGGGCCCTATGCGAGCTAGGGGACTGAAACTTGGAATGTAGATAGGGTCAAAGAGTCTCATCTTTTCATGATATTTTGACGACGTTTCGTGCACTACGAAACCCCATCATCAATGAATCAAATCAAAAAATCGTTCAATTTAAATGAAATTTGGTATGTCGATAGATTGGACAAGGCCAACTTAACGACGTACGACACGTGTCACTGTGACAGTTAGTTTTGGCGTAAGAAACGTCAAAAGTTGATGTCGTGCTTTACCATTATATTATATTTTAAGTCGACATAATATGTCAAAATTAACAAACCAGAAAAGTCACCTACCTGAGGTACTGAACCCAGTACTAATTCTGTTAGTTTTGGGGCAACAGGAATTAATGACGAGGCTGCTACGGAGCTGACATCGTCTACAGTGTCGGAGAGACCTGTAAAACGTAAAAAAGTCCCAAATATTACGTATTTCGCTGAAGTTAATAACTCTCAGAATCAGCTGTCATATCACTGAAAAAGTCAACGACTAAAAATACAAGAAGGCATAACGCGCATATACGGGCTGAAGGAAAATCTGTGGTGTAAAATTATAGGATGCATTTTTGTGGTGCCAAACAAAAGAAGTGACATCAGAACTTCTTATAATTTTTTTTATTGCATTTGATAATTAAAATTCTGCATTATTGCAATTATTGCATTTGATACTAGTTTTGTACCTTTTGTGAACCTTTTTATACTTTTTTCTTGATAATTGGCATAACACCACCTAAAAAAGCAGCAAAAATATAAATAAATAAAGATTATTCATAACTAAATAAGTCTAATAATTCGTAACAGAAGGTACTAAATTAAATTTTGTAAACTCCCCAATTTAGTCGACACCATTAGTAGAATCAATTTTATTATAAAAGACGGATATTTAAAAAATAAAATCAAAACCGTCGAATAATAATTTAGAAATACTATTTATAAAACAATTAAAAATACATTTTTTATTTAATTCTGCATTTTTCGTATTAACCCTCTGGCACGGCACTGTTTGGTGTCAACTGGTAACAATTTGGTTTCTGGTGTTATTGGTCCTTGTATTCTTTAATCATTGGGTACATAAAAATAATTTATTGTTATATTTAGGTGTATTGTGACTTGTGACAGCATCTACCTCAGAATTCCTCAACCAAAATCAACATACAAAACCCATCTTACCTTGCAAAATATATGGAAAAGCCTTAGGAAGTAACTCGTCGATCATATCCACTCTAACTGCCAGCAAATACTTCAGCCCCAATAACCCTCCATGTCTTGCCTCCCAATCCTGATGACTGAGTAGCTGCAGTAGGATGTTCAGCACGCAGTTGCAGGACCTGGTGTCCATCAGTTTGATGACTGCGCAAAGGGCTTGAGCGCAAGTCTCCCTTACAGGAGCAACGACCGCATCGGAAACAAAGTCGCCGAAGCGGTCTAGAGCTAGGACGCAAAGGAGCCGTATTGACATGTCTTCCAGCCACATTTGGTGGTAGAGTTCCATCTGAGAACAGAAGACAAAAATGAACCATTTATAAAAGTAGTAATGAAAAGACAGAGACGGCCAGCGTAAGATATGTTTTCAACAAAAATGAATCGCATTTACTTATCCACGTAGGTAGATAAAAAAACATTATACGGTAATCACAAAATATTTTCAGATGTACGTCATCAATCATATCGACATTGGCACTAAAGTCTATAAACCTGACTAAATGAAATTTTGGCAAAAATGTTTAAATTTGTTGTATAATTTAAGATACTGAGCAGCTGTCCATTTTACTTTATAGAGCAAATGATTGTAACAGATATTTTATTTATATTAAAGCTGCAAAAATTAGTTTAAACCGAATTTTATTATCGCTATGTTGGTCACATTGCGCCGTGTTCAGCAACGTTGTTGTTTATTATTTAACAATTATCCTAATATCAATCATTATTTTGGATAATATCGGTTTGTTGAATTTTTGTAATTCTCGTTTTTTTGCCTATTTTCATAGTCTATTTTTAAAAATTGTACTTTTAAGCACAAACAGTTTTTTAAGAACTAAATTTTCGAATTTTTGTATTGCATTTCTTGAAATTGTATGTTGAAAATATGCCGAAGCATTTAATAAACAATCGAAGCAGAGCTTGTAGCTTCCCTAATAAACTATTTTGAACGAGAACGTGACAATAAAGGTCCTTTATTACCCTTGACTGCAGTCAGAGAAGTAAGTTTGACTGATAAACACATTATACCACTTTCAAAGTTATTTCTACGTTAGTTTTTATTAAATTCTGTGATTATTAGTTTATGCATTAATCGCACACTCTTACTTGTTATTACCATCTATGGCGTTGTAAGATGTATACGAATAAATAAATAAATAACCCATAATAAAGCTTAGAATAATTTTCATAACGGACTAGTTTTTGCCAATATGTAATAAGTAAAATATGCTTATCAATTAATTACTAAAATATTAGCTATTAAATTAAAAGTAAAACGTAAAATTTTTTAAAAAATGATATAATCAATATATTTTTTGTAAATTTTAAATTAAGATTCATCTCATAAATCTATCACAATCTGCCAGCGTTGTCGCCATCGCTTGTCACTCAAAGTTGATCACGTGCATCGGAAATTGTTTTGCGATTACCGTATGTATATTACGTAACGTTGAACGATGGTTGTAGAGAATTTACCAGATTTAATCGTTTTCACTTTATAGTTGCGCTATCGCCGAACTTGGAAGATATAACCACAGATTAGGTATCCTATAAGTATACAGATAAAAATCTTGTCCCTAATACATGGTTTGCATGGACGTTAATAAGGCCAGATGTTATTTCCTTTACATGAGGTGGTATTAACTCTCTTCATTTATAGTTATCGGATCGGAAAGAATTCTGTTCGCGTCGCGTCCGCTATTTAAACTTAACCTAACTTTGAATTTAAAACTTTGAAATTGTTTTGTTTACTAGGTATTTTAAAACTAAAGGGCTAAAGTACTTATTTCCAGTGTTTTATTGTTCAACGTCTGCCAGTGGGTTTAGGGCAACAAACAACAAATTCTCTTAGAAGGGCTAAGTCGTCATCTGCTGTAAACCTAAGCCTCTTTATAGGTTCTTTAATATTGGAAGAGGTGGAATCCATATTTTGGGCCATATTTATTTAATTAAAACTAATCCCAGCTACTTAAATATCAAATAACCTAATAAAACTAGAGTAATAATTCAAAACAATTCAAATATAACCTAAAATAAAAGATCTCGCCGGCCGGCCCCGTTTGTCAAATACCCGCACATGCCCATTTAAGCAATTTTTAAACGTTATTTAGAAATAGCGCTTGGCGTAATTGATCCGCAAATTACGTCAGGCGGTAACGTTATTAGCGGATGTTGCGTTAAAAATTGACTCGCGCATATCGTAACCATGATAAGGTACGCGTAAATACTGCATGACGCTATTCGGTTTTCCGATATCTCTCTAATAACTGTGCCGGTCAGGCGCTGTGCACAATTTTAGAGGCCATAAGTGGGCGTGCTATGTGCGCAAACTAGTAACCTAACTAGTGCCCGATTCCGAAAATTGGAACTACGAAAACAATAAAGAAAAACAAAGTTTATAATCTGTATAATCTGTGATATAACTTACCTGACTAGCTGGTAAATATGTGGCCTTCCCAGCTCCTCTACCGTGCACGCTCAGTACTTCTCTTAAAGCTGTGGCAGCGCCATGTCTCGTCTCCCAACTTGAACTAAACAAGTCCTGGCTGAGCTGATCGCAGAACCATTCTAAAGGCCAATCGCACGACTCGGATGTTTCTACATCTAAAGCCAAATAACAAACATTAGAGATGAGTTGTTATTTCTCTGACTTAAAAGATCGCCAAAGCATTTCGCTACTAGACATGTAAATATCGACCCCAGACTCTGTTGTCGACAGTGTATAGAAATACCATACAATCGAAAAAAAGGCGTCAAAGACGGCTGGGGAAGGCCAATCGGTAATAATTGGCGCATATTGCCAGTTGGCCATAAGAAGGTTGTAATTTATTTTTATATTGATTAAAAATGAATGGTGTAGTTTAAAATTTGAAAAATATTTTTTTGGAAATAGATTTGTGTATCTGGAAACATTCTATCCTGTTTTAATCTTTCTATAGTTAGTGTTAATTTCTGATTTCTGAAGTTTCATGTCAATTTTTAGTAAATGATGTCCATAGACTAATGTCATGTACTAGAGATAGATTGGACATTGATATAAAACAAATAGGTTCGTCACTTAGAGCCACCTGGTGGTCCGGAAGAAACCAATGGAGAGTTTTAGCATAACATAATTTTAGCGTGCCGTTACTTATTAACGTTAACTAAAACGGTAACGTTATTCAAGCGCAAAATCATTCCTTATAAAATATAAAATAATAAATATAGATCTTTTACTACCCTTTTATGTTTTATTAGATCATTAGAAGTGTAACACAGTCAAAACAAATTTAAAATTATGAATACATATATTTTAAACACCAACAATAGAGCGAGAGATTTTTTTGATTTAACAAATAAATTATAATATATAGGAAAAATATTATAGACTACTAATTAACTGTTACTTTTTTGCAAAAAAAAATTGAAAATTCGAAATTTTTTAAAAATTTTGGAATTTTTTTAGTTTTTAGTTAAAAACATAATTTCTTGATAATATGGCAACATACGTATTAGATTAAATTTACAAGAAAGAAAATCCAGAAAAGATCCAGTGTTTCTCAAAATTTTTTAGCAAAAATATTTTTTTGAAATTTTCCAAACCAAACCAAACCAAACCAAACTTATTTAAAAACGATAAAGAGAAAATATATTTCTTTTATCGAGATCTACCACCCCTTAAAATACTACTTGCACTTATTTCTGGGACACCCTGTATATTACCATCTATGTTCTTACTTATTTATGATTAACTATTTTCTTATTTGGTTCATAAATTTACCATTTCCAAAATGTCAAAATGACTTAAATAAAAAAAGTTTAGTATCTAACACGAAAACGATGATCAACTGTAAATATCAGAACGCACAAACTAATAAAAACACAAAACACCGAACTTTCCGATAAATCAGGAATATCTGAATTAATAATTATTTTAAATAATGATTTAAAAATAACTTTGGCGGATCTCCAACATTTTGTCAACTAGACCAAAACCAGACCATGTACCTGTACTTTAATGTATTTTGCGCGGTCTGGCGATGCGGAAGAAACTAAATTTTTAGTTCTATAAAATAACCATTGAGTGTCTAGGGCATGGTGACGTCTAGAGATATTGTGATTCGCCCGCTCTAAAATCATTTTATAATACTTACCAACTGTAACGGTGTTTTCCTCCTTAATTTCAGTCTTAATTTTCTTCCTTTCGGGCTCGTCCCCGTTCATTTGTCCATCCTCCCCTACGTCACGAGATCTTTGCTTGTTCACCGCTTGTCTGGCCATTCTTTGGCCCTGTTCATCTCTGCGACTGCTCAGTCCCTGTGTAACGCCACCATTATCTCTTTGATGGGTTTCTTTAACAAAAATAAACATAAAAAATATATAAACAAGAGTAAAACATCGTAACATTCACTCTGGATCAGGGAAAAGCAGAATGTCCACTAGAGAAACAGACAGAGGCACAGGCATAGCAAGGCCTCTATCCAAGGACCTAATTCTAAAGTATGAAAGCAACTGCTAAAGCTTAGCCGGAATAAAATGCGGATTATAACAGATCTCTTGACAGGACATATGGCTGTCAAGTGCTACCTGAACAAGCTCAACCTGTATCAAGACAGTCTTTGCTGCAGACTCTGCGAGGCTCTGGATGGCAAGCGACACTTTCTATTTGTGAAAGCAAGGCTAGAACCAGATGAACTATGCTCTCGTCCTATCAAGGACCTGCTCAAGTTGATGCAGGGTACAAGGATAGGAGAATGTGTGCAGACATAGAAAGGGAAATGAAAAATCAAACATCGTAACATGCAACATAATTGTGTAAACTGAAAAATAAGTGCAACAAGACATTGTTTACCATGTTTAACACAAAGAGCAATATTTATTAACTTAAATAAAATGAAATGTCATATTAATTCTTACCTTTACAATTCCTGAATTGTAATCGTGAGGTTGCTCGATTTTTTCAATGCCTACGGCCAAGTCTTCATTGGAGAATAAAGCTGAAGTGTTGAAACCCATCCTGGCGGCCACGTCTAAGCCCAGCCTGTTATTGAGGAGTTGTCTTTGCTTGGCTAGGCGTTCCTTCATGTCTAAACCTTTAATACAAGCATTAGGAGTGATTTCAAACGAAAAAAAAAACAATGAAATAAAAGATTAACTTAAGAATAAATTTGCATTTTTTTTATTTTTAAGCATTTTATCAAAAAAAATCGTAAACTACGGATTTTAATCACTGTTGATCGCCCTTTACATACAGAACTGAATTCAGTACATTTCACGTTTTATCTGCTAATTAAAACGACAGACAACAACTGTCACTGTCAAGAAACCCCCGGACAGACTGTTGGGGAGACTTTAGTTTTTTTTAAACTCTTATGTAGTTACCTAAAGCTGAATCTTCTTCCACGTCAAACTCCTTGCCCTCAGAAGCCATTAAATGTGTGCTATTATCTAATACTTTAGACATGTCAAACTGCTCAAACTGTAGTCTTCCGACGATCGATAATGCTTGAGATGATACACCATTTTCCTCTATAAAACAACATTTGTATCATTAAATTACTTATCATTAAATTACTTTGTATCATTAAATTACTTATCAATCGTTGTGATACACAAGTTTACCTAACGAACAAAAAATGCTTAACATTTCAGAAGGTATACTAAGGGCTGGCAAAGGTTAGTCTTGGGTCGAGATTTCCGTATGTAAGAAGAGTACAATGCGTTTATAATGTACTGAACAAAGAGAGGACAGTAAACACGTTGCCAAACATATGAAATAAACCGAGAAACTGTGCACATCGCTAAGAGACGTGGAAGGGGATATAGCAGATTTGTCACAGTTGACCGGTCGACCCAATCAATACCTACTTGCATCTATATCTAAACGTGACTCCGCATACTACGGTTGCGCTTCAGCTTCACGATTTACGATTTCGTCTTGGCGCCTTAATTTGTTAGTTTTATTAACGAAATAATTGTAATTTTCCCTATAGCTTGATTTTTTAAGTGCAAGCTAGAAATACTTGCATTTTTGTTAAAAATAAGTGGAATTGAGTGGGTGTTCGATAGTGGTCGCGCTATTAGAACTCTGAATTCAAAAATCGATATCTCGAAATCTATTAAAAATAATAGATTGTAGTTTTTTCAAGAACTTTGTTAATATTTCTGTTTTCTTTGTAGACAGTATGTGAAAATCTTTAACAATAAAAAAATTACACGATTGCTGAAAATTGCTATGCTCTAAAAGTAAAAGGATGGATTGTTTACAATTTTTGAATAGAAAAAACAACCTTATCGAATTTTTCTTATGTAAACATATTGTAAAATATCCGATCTTGAAAATAAAAAAGTTTCAATATCTAAAGTGGTTCTTGAGTTATGGCCTGTTATGTGTTAAAAGTTGAGTTTTTAAATTATCGCGATTACTGACGTTTTCTCGTTATAAAAAAAATGACACCCTAACGATATCCTTATAATTCCATTTCAGATGCTCAGAAACATGTCTAATGATTTTATCTAGTTATCTCTTGAAAAAAAGTCTTTTAAAAATAAGCGGTTTGCGATCGTGATTTTACTTTACTTGATAGGGAAAGGCGTATTGGCAACGCCGCAACAGCACACCGTCGCGCGTCGCGTCTGTCGGTCGCATTTCTCTCACTCCGACTTAATAAGATCCCCATGCGATTTACTTCCACACATGTAAATGCCGACCCAAAAGTAACCGTTGCCAGCACAGTATCTCCTCCACTCGTCGGAAGCAAAAAACACAAAGAACAAACAAAGAACTATTTAAAATATCTAAATATAACTATTCTAGACAGTAATTCATAACTCAACAACACCAAAGTAATTTATTTAGTTAAGTTAAGTTAGGCCGTGAAGTTTTTGCTTGGTTTATATTGTAAAGTTTCGTTTTACGATGTTTTGTGAAAAATCTGTGCTTGGACGTTGGGAGACTATCTTTTATCAAAGTAAGGGACAAAGTTCTATGCTATGGAACGTATCTGTGCAATTTACAACCAAAAATGAAATCATAACCTTCCACAAGTTAGTATTTTGAAAATACAATCATTTATTTATAATGATCAGTTATTATAGTAACCAAAAGCAAAATGATTTGTATTATTAGTAACTATAATATTTTTGTTATAGGTAATAACATGGTCTAAACAGGGATCCTCAGGGACTACCTGATTTCGATTCAAAACTACAAAAAAAAACAATAATAATCCTTTATGCTTCAATCAAATTACCAATAAATAATAATATCAAATTATATCCTATAAAACAGTCAATTATCTATAATGATCAGCTGTAACAATAATTTAAAATTAAAGAGTATTATTATTTATTAATAGTAATAATAATAAAGAAATATTACCAAATAAAAAATAGAAAATCTGTGTATATGCCCAATACACAATAGAAAATTTAAATTTTAATATAAATATATTTATTTTTACTATAATACCCCTAGATCATTATGAATTATGATCTAGGATAATACCACTGGGTTTAGAATCCAGAGACTTCTCAGTAGCTGTATACAGGGTGAGTCGTACAATACCCCCTATAGGAGGGGGTTAAAAATTTTAAAAAATCGTAACTCCAAAATTACAGTAGCTAGCGAAACGCGGTTTTCAATTTAAGATTAGGAATAATATTTGCAACAAAATTTGTAATAACATCGAAATCAGTCAAAGTCGCAGATTTTGAGATAAAAAAAAATTGGAAAAATTCCTTTACTTTAAAACTAAAAGAACTGCCTACCAACTTTTTATTAACATACCGGGTGTTGCATCGTCGAGCGGTACATAGGAAATCCCATGTAAATTTTAATGGGGTCAATTATTGGCTTCCCTAATTATTTTAGAGAATAATTCTATTTAAGTTTATTGAAGAGCACTAAAACCCACATTCAAAAGAATAACTTTAGATATTTTTGATTAGCCTGTTTACGAGTTATCGCCGATTTCTTTTTAAATATTTCTCCTTTCTTATGGCCCTGTATTTACTTACGAGCACCAGTCGAGGTAAAAGATAACGAGGTCAAATGAAGTTGTCATTTCAGAAATTTATCTATTTAGTGCTTTATTATTATTATTAAAAACTCATACCTACATCGAAAATATTAGCCATGAATTACACTACCGAAGAAAAAGTATTGATAATTAAATGGTATTATCAAGGAAATAGTTATCAAAAGGTGTCGGACATGTTTGCTGCTCTGTATCCGAATAGACCGATACCTGGAAAATCTACAATCGCAAAGAATATCGAGAGATTTGAGACCAAAAAAAAAAGGTACCCTAATAAATAACTGCAGATGGAACAAGTGCAAGGCAGAAACAAAGAGAAGATCCAAGAAATGATACCGACTTGGAAGTTTTATTGTGCGTGGAAGAGAACGATGGAAAGATCAGCACAAGGAAACTTGAGGATGAAATAGGAATAGATCACACTACAGTGTTTCGAATTTTGAAACGACATAAATACTATTCCTTCAAATATGAAAAGCACCAAGAGCTACGAGATGGGGACGAAATACGGCGGCAGGCGTTTTGTTTTGATATGATGGAAAGAGCAAACACGGATATTTTTAAAAAACATATGTTTCACTGACGAATGCACGTTTACCTTAAATAATGAATCCAATGTTGAAAATTATCGATATTGGCTGTTCGGGAATATTTAGACAATAGTTTTAACGGAAACGTTATTGGCCTAAATCATACAGTAAATTGGCCAGCAAGGTCTCCTAATATTTCGCCAAATGATTTCTTTCTCTGGGGCCATTTAAAAAACAGAATATACAAGGATAAAAAATACCCAAATCTAGACGAGTTAAAAAATGCTATTTCTGCCGAATGCAATAGAATTTCAGTTTACCAACTAGCGAATGTAAGAAGAGAATTTTATGATCGCCTGGGTTATTGTCTAGCAGTTGATGGACGAATATTTGAACATCTTAAATCCTAAAGTTCTAACAATTTAATAGTACCTAAATTAATAAGTTATTGAATATTGTAATAATACTACAATTAACCTTGTAATTGATCACTTTATTTTACTTTAATTCATATTAATTTGTATTTATAAATACATCTTTAAGATTTCCGATGTAGGAATGAGTTTTCAATAATAATATAGCCCTAAATAGGTAAATTTCTGAAATGACAACTTCATTTGACAGTTATCTTTTACCTTGACTGGTGCTCATAAGTAAATACAGGGCCATAAGAAAGGAGAAATATTTAAAAAGAAATCGGCGATAACTCGTAAACGGGCTAATCAAAAATATCTAAAGTTATTCTTTTGAATGTGGGTTTTAGTGCTCTTCAATAAACCTAAATAGAATTATTCTCTAAAATAATTAGGGAAGCCAATAATTGACCCCATTAAAATTTACATGGGATTTCCTATGTCCCGTCCGACGATGCAACACCCGGTATTTTAGTATGGGCGGCTATACGTGCCTCCCGGCGCCAATTTTTTTGCTATTCGGGGTGGAGAATCCAACAAATCAGAGATCATTAAAATCGGTTAAGTAGTTCTTCAGTTATAAATGGTGTAACTAACCCGGCTTTGTTTTTTTTTATTTAGATTATAGTTTGATATATTGTGGATTATTCTAGAAAATTTCCATGAGTTATTACCTTTGATAGTGTCGGGTATTCCCCGAGGATTCCATTGGGGCACGTTATTAACAATTGCCCTGACGGCTTCGCTGGCAGCTATTCGGGTGTCCCAGCTAGGGGAACGCAGGTACGAGGCAGTCCTGAACAGCAAGGTATTGAGCTCGTGAGGATGTAGCCGCTGTACTTCCCCTAACTGTTTGGCGGCAGCTGATCTAGTTACAGAGGTACTGCCGGTCTCCAAGAGCACAAAAAGTCGATCCAATCTACTATGAATAAAAAAAAGTATTTAAATTTATATTCATGCTTAGCTAGAATAATAGTTTCTCATATACAGGGTGATAAGTGATAACACGAGAAGTTCTTATTACCAATTTATATTTAAAATCGATTTGTAACACGATTTTTAGTAATTAAAGTAACTAATTACACGAGATAGAATATACAGAGTGTTTAAAAACAATTACGAAAAAAATTAAGGGGTGAATCCTCGTTAAAAAAACATTTATTAAATTGAAGGATTTGAAGGACGTTTAAAAAAGTGACTTATAATGCTGTTTTAATATAAATATACTTTCAATTTATTTCTTTAATTTGTACATTTTCTGGTTCCTTAATAGCCTGCAAATTTTGTCGAATACCACCCAAAATACACACTTTTATGCAAATGCCTAATAATGTTAACGCTAAATTTAAGGAAAGAAACAGTTTTGAACCTAACTAACAATTCGTATTTATAGCTTAAGATCTAAGATTTATAGTGGTTTATGTTCAAAATAACATTTTTTTATAATTCTAACAAAATATTTACGTTTATTTTTTAATAAAGTTAATTCCAGGAAAAAAACATTAAGGCTTCTTTGCTAATGAGCTAACTCCCACACAAAAAAGAACAATATCGCCCACTTTTACCCGTGACTGTCCTAGAAAGATAATTGGTTTGCAGATAAAAAACAGGATATTCCTCAGATAGAAAAAAACACTGGTCTGAATTAAAGTTTATTAAACACAATAATATCAACTATACTGGAAAAGTTGTGTATGTGGTCATTGAAAAATAAATTAAAATGTTCAAAAGAAATATATTTTTTTAATCATTTGTATTGAAATGAAATTTTGTGTGTATATGTCGGTTAATTTTGAGCATTTTTTAAAAATATACATGTTGGAGTTCTATAGGATGACCCCAGAAAAAGTTACACATCAAAGTTGTATTTTTTGTATGTATGTATTTTTTGTAATGGAACACCCTATATACCGGATGCGTCTCAAAAGTGGCTCACCGCTATAACTTTTATAAAAAAACTACTACAATTTTTGATTTTTAAATGGCACCCTCGGTATTTTTTTTACTTTATTCGATAGAAAATAACACTCTGAATAGAATGACATATCATAACTTCAAATTATAACTTCCGGTTCGTAACAAAAATTTGATTCGAAATATCAAGTCTGTGGCATCAAATTATGCCTAAAAAATGCTTCTTCCAAATATGCTAATGAGCCACCCTCGTTCCATTTGAAAAAATTGGGATATGATTAAAAATACGATTTGAGCATTTTTAACTGGCCAGGACAAGACACTAAATACATTAGACGATCCAATCTATTTTTCCAAGCCTCTCTGATTAAGAATTAGTGTTTTTAACATATTAGCCATGGTACTCTAGATTGAAATTTAAAATAAATTTTCTTATTAAGTGAGAATGTGAAAAGTTGACATATGATATGTCATTCTCTTCAGAATGTCATTTTCTATCGAATAAAGTAAAAAAATACCGAGGGTGACATTTAAAAATCAAAAGTTGTAGTCATTTCCGGTGAAACAGGAAGTGACGAAAAACAATTGAATACGTCAATCAATCCGGATTTATGTCATATACTAACGTACCAAGTCTCGTTACTTTATCTGAAAAAATAAAAAAGTTATAGGTAGAGAAGTGCAGATTATGCAATCGCATAATTGCATAATTTTTAAAAAGGCCTTAAAACGGTTCAAAGTTGATACCTGAGTCATCACTAAACCTTCCCGAGGACGAATACACCCCGCATAATAAGGCATAATCGGGTCGTTTTGCAGCATAATGCGCAAAGTGCATAATTATCGCATAAAGTGGCATTTTTTCCTTTTTTCTACAATTTAAGAAGACTATTGTTTGAGCCAATTAAAATTGTTGTGGCGACTTGTGACGATGTTGACGAGGAAAAGATTCATCTGTTACACAAAGTACCTACAGCTGATTTCAGAGTTTTACATGGTATAATGTCGGATGAGCTGAAAGAGGCAGTTCAAAACTCCAAAACAAATAAAGATAACACAGATTTTGTATGCAAGGTACTGTTAGGATTGGGGCTCAATTATCATGAGTTTTTTACATACTGCATGCAAGTTTTGCATATCCCAGTGGCAAATGTCGATCCTACCGAACGCGCCTTTTCAGCCTATGGAGATATTCTCTCCCCTAGACGTTGCAGACTTTCTCCTGAAAACGTTGAAGTTATGATGTGTATGTATTTTGGAGATGATTGTTCGGATTGGGTTGTCGAAGATGATGTTGAAATTTAGCTTTTTTTCTTTAGCTTTTTTTTATGAGATTAATATTTGATAATATTATTAAACTTTTGTTATCTTGTTAAGATGTTTTATAGTTACCAAAAAATGCAACTGTTTAAATATAATATGTTGCGTTTTGTGAAATCTTGTGTGTATTTTTTCTGTTTTAAAAAACTAACATTTTCAACACCTTTATCAACACCTTTAACGAAGATACCGACCTTTATGCACTTTTTTACGTAAAAACATAAAATTACATTTCTAGGAGCATAATAAGTAATTTTTTAACGCATAATGAGCCATTTTTGGGCGCATAAAAGCCGCATAATATAACAAAATTTGTTCGCATAAAATAGGGGGTGTAAAATGCATAATCTGCACATCTCTACACATATTACTACACATATTATAGGGGTGAGCCACTTTTGAGACGCACCCGGTATATTAATTGATTTTCGTATTCTAGCGAAAAATAAAGTAAGTTTCATTAGAGAAAGATATGACCAAAATGTAAGATTTTTGAAATATTTAACATTTTCCAAAAATGAAGAACAAATTTTAAACTTCAATAAAAGCTGTCTAAATTGGAATTTACCCGGCACAGTCTAATATTTGTTTAACATATCCAATGTACTTCAAATTATATTAAAACCTGACCAGAAAATTTATACAGGATGAGACCAATTAATATTGAACATTGGTCACTTTTAAAAGCAAGTTACTCTTTTAATTTAAATGGAAGACCCAGTATATTATTCCGATATTCAATGGGGAATTCATGTCTCTTCAAAATACTATTAAGGTTCCTACCCATTAAACAAAGATTTTCCTAGGTATTATTATGTTCAATTTATGGAATCATATATCTACTGGGTGCGTCTCAAAAGTGGCTCACCCCTTTTTATTATTTTAAGATAAAAAAACGAGATTTGGTATGTGGGTATATGAAATAAATTAGGATTGATTGACGTATTCAATTGTTTTTGGCCACTTTCTGTTTCACCGGAAATGACTACAAATTTTTAAATGGCACTCTCGGTATATTTTTACTTTATTCGATAGAAAATGACACTCTGGATAGAATGACATATCATATGTCAACTTTTGACATTTTCACATATAGTTTATTTGAAATTGTAATATGCGGTAGAGGTATGTAGTTCGTGAACGAACTAGTTCCAATGAACTATTCCGACCCCGGAATGAAAGGAACTAGTTCTTGGTTTCTCAAAGAACTAGTTCCTCAGGACCTATTCCAGGATCGAGACTGTGACCGATATAGAATAATATGCGACGGCGACGGATCGGCTAGCGCGCGTAGCCCGATGGTAGGCAGGAGTGGGGAGTGCCAGCCGTACGTTATCGGATCCGGATGGGGAACTAAACCATAAAGTAACTAAAATAAAAGAGTGTTTGAAAGGTTGTCTAACTTGGCCATAATGTTGCATAGTTCAGTTAGGGCTCCAAAGCGTCGCCACCTGCTACCTGTCACGTGTCATTACAAGAATGACAAGTGACATGACAGCAAATTATTTGTATTTTGCAATTGTTTACAATTTTGTTTTGAATTTTGGAATTTTGTTATTATTTTGTGTAGCATAAACTTTGTTTGTTTGTTTTGTGTTTGTGTACCGAATTATGGACGAAGTTTTATTTCCCGAGGAACGAGAGACCTTATATTTCTCTATGATTTGAACTTTATATTTTGTGCTGTGTTTTGCCATCATCATGTAATATTTTGTTCAGCCGATGATGTGATTTGAACACGATCCAGGAAAGGGTATCATGGAAAGCAAGTTCGATATGTAAAGACATTGCCCATCTCTGAACTCTGTGAACGTAAAACGAACTGACTATAAATTTGCGCCTTCATTTAATAGTGTTGAACATTTGCTACATCAACTGAACTTCAACTGCTGACTGCTGAGTTTATAAATCCAACTTAAAGGTGAATTAATTTTTGATGATATCTTATTTAAATCTTTATCTGTTATAATAGCATAGATTGCAAACCCTGCGATCTTATATGCTTTGTTAGTGGCGTTGTTAAATACGTTTTATAATACTATAGGTAAATCGAAGGGTAAATCGCTGGTGTATTTTGGTGGTGTACAAGATGTTGGCATTTTCGTGGCATTATTGGTATTAGTACTAAATTATTTGGCATTACCTTGGCATTAGTGTACAGAAATTCATCAGGAGTTTACCCCTCGAAGTTAATTCAGCATATATGTTTTATATTATCAAATTTAATTTAGCATTTAACTGTAAGCATTTGAAAAGTCTACAATAGTTTATACTTTTCAAATATTCCGTTTTTAAAAATAAACTTTCGTTATATTTTTGCAGTTTTAATTTCGTAATATTTTAAAAAATACATAAAATTTTATATTCATATTTAAACAGCCCGCCTTTTTTGTGGTAGGCAATGCAGATACCTATTTTACCGATAACGTCTGTCATATTTCGATTAGTTCAGTTAGGGCTCAAGGGTGCGCTACAATCGATCCTCGTTAAACGTGTTGCCTACTTTTGACTATGGAAATGACAACTCTTTTATTTTATATTTCTCTATGAACTAAACTAAATAAAAGACTAGTTTACGTACGAACGAATCGGGCCAGCGCGATCGATGCTAGGCAGGAGTGGGGAGTGCCAGCCGTATGCCGTATGTTATCGGATCCGGACCTAAGGTGTGTTCCCAGAAGAATCCCTGACTAGTCAGCACGTTTCTCATTGGTTAAAATGCCTAGAAACCTGATTGTTAGTCTGGTTTCTACACATTTCAACCAATAAGAAACGCGCTGACGGAACAGAGCCCTAAAGAAACTAAATAAAATAGTTTACGTATGGATCAGCCAGAGCGATTGATGCTAGGCAGGCGTGGGGAGTGTCAACAGTATGTTATCGGATCCTGACCTAGAGGAACTAATTAAAAGACTAGTTCACGGGAATCTATTGAGTCGGCAGATCCGAGATATAATACAAGGCGACGACGATGGATTCGGCCTTGTCTATTGCCGCAGCCGGCGCGGCGTAATTACCACAGAAAATTGTCGTGGATACTGTTTTTGATTTTTAGTTTGTTTTTTAAATATTTTATGGGAATGTTTCACTTTAGGTCCCTAAAATTAAGAAATATCTTATAAAACGAAGTAGATATTCTGAATTTTTAGACAAAAGCAAAAAGCTTGAGGTGAGGAGAAATGCATTTTTTCGTAAAATTTTTGTAATATTTGCTCCAATTGATTTGTGATATAGGTTTTTAAATTCTGATTTGAGTTTTTTTATTTTTTTATCTGCAATAAAACTTACCTATATATTTTTAACGTACACAATTACACGTCTCGTTATATCTCCGTACATTATAAAAATTATACAGATCATACTGTGAATAGTTCTGACTGACAACGAAACGCATTAGCAAGCAAGGGGGATGTCAATGTTAGTCGGGAACTATTGTGAACTAAAGATCTAGTTCAAGGAACTATTCCTCTGGAGGAACTAGAACTAAGGAACTAGAATTCCCACCTCTAATATGCGGTTCATAGCAACAATTTGACTCGAAATACCAAGTGTGTGGTATCAAATTATTCGTAAAAAAATGCTTTTTCCAAATATGCTAATGAGTCACCTATGCCCCATTTGAAAAAATTGAGATATGATTAAAAACGATTTGGGTATCTTTTAACCGGCCAGGAGAAAACACGAAAAACATTAGATGATCAAATCTATTTTTCCAAGGCTCCTAGATTAAAAATTAGTGTTTTTAACAAAGCCAGGCCACTCTAGATTGAAATTTAAAATACGATTTTTTTGTAAGAGAAAATGTCAAAAGTTGACATACCATATGTCATTCTATTCAGAGTGTCATTTTCTATAGAATAAAATAAAAATATACCCAGGGTGTCTTAAACAATCAAAAGTTGTAACAATTTCCGGTGAAACAGGAAGTGACCAAAAACAATTGAACACCTCAGTCAATCGTAATTTATGTCATACACTAACATACCAAATCTCGTTTTTTATCTAAAAAAATAAAAAAGTTATAGGGGTGAGCCACTTTTGAGACGAACCCGGTATACGGAGCGCCATGCGCCATCCTGTATATTACAGGGGGATCTACCACAAACATACATAACTAATCTAGAACTTATTTTTTGTAATTTATAAATAACATCACAAATTTCCCCTAAAAGGAAAACAAAACCTCCCAAAAAAATACTAAATTTTAAAAATACATTATCGCATTCGTGTGTTATGTATTCAAACTGGTTTCGTTCGTTAATTTAATTACTAAAAATCGTGTCAGAAATCGACTTTAAATGTAAATTGGTAATTGTTAGGTAATTTTAAGTATGTCGCGGGTGGCCATAAAATATACTAAATTAAATGACTTGAATTTTATTCCCTTCCATTTTATTACAGAAACAAAGTTGATTATTTATTGTTAATCATTTATATTTATTTGTGAAAATATAGTATAGTATTTCTTTGAAAACGATATAATTAAAAAAAACTAACAGGTAGGTATTTGGTTTATAAAAAAAATAGTTTTTGTCTCTTTAAAAAAGCAAGAAATCAACTAAAATGAATACCTACCTATTACCTATCCCTAGCTACAAGAGGTAGGTATATATATTAATAAATTATAAACAAAAGGAAAGCTTCTATTAACACAGAGATCCACAACAATAATTGTAAATAAACCTAATCCCTATTCAAAAAGAACGAATATCTGTTTATATTATTATATTAAAGTAACTGCAAATCATCCATTTTAATTGAATTAAATTTTATTTTCTATTCTCAGCACATTAATTGTGTGCAAATGTCGATACATATAATCTTAACAAATTTAAATGTATGCGCCACTTGATAAAAGTTCAAAAAAATTCACTTACCTACTAGAAGTCATTATTCAATTTCAAGCTTATCTCTCTTGTAAACAGGCAAATCCTGAAAATATACAATGATAGGTGTTTATTACTCGTGAAATCCTCATAATTAAGATACATAACGGAATTTATATTGACCATATGGCTATGACGATAAAAGTAAATGTTGGCCCAAATTAGATCATATTTTAGACAGGTATTTTCTTAATAACTAATCTATTACTATTAAAATCCTTAAAAACATTAGTAATTCAACGACCTAAGACTCTAATATTCGAAGTTTCAATACGGCAATAAACGATTGCAGATCAGATTGATCTAAATCTTTAAATTCCGCATAGGTCATTACAACGTAATATCAAAATTTAGATAGTAAAATTTTTGTCACAATAATTTACCTACTAATAGCTAATTATTCGGAAATTTCAGGACTTACCCAAGTCAACACGTTCTCACTTCACCCGCTGAAACATTTTATAACGTTTTTTGCTGGATTTCACCCCTTTTAATACAGAAATAAATAAAAGTACCCTTTTATGTGTATATTTCGCAGAGGGAAAGTTCATCTTACAATGGACAAATTTATACTGACAGCCATGATGTGGTTGAGTCGGTCTTTATGCAAGTACTAGCTCGTGATTGGTTGAAAATTTAAAGGGAAGGGAAAACCGTCACGATCAAAAGAAATTCTGGTTTCATTGACGATAAAATAACTCTTTTTAAAAATATACAAGCAAGTGACACGCAACGGAAATAAAATATCTCTCAGTTTAATTACAAGAGTAATCGAATTAAACTTATCCAATTATTTATTCTTTAGTCTTTTTATATCAAAAAAACTTATTTTTGATCCTCCAAATATTTGACAACAGCTGTCAATCAATAATAGTGTAAACAAAACACATGGATTCGCGAAATAAAAAATCGAAACGAAGACCCAAGAACCGGGCAAATAAAATCCATTTAGTTTTCGATGAAACCAAAAGAAGGTAATTATTTTTTACTACTAAAATATATAGTATAAGCACCGTACTCTTAATACCGCGCTACAAATAACTTGATAGAAGATACATAACCTCTAAATCGTATCTATTTTTTCAGAGAATTTTTAACTGGTTTTCGTAAAAGAAAACTATTGAGAAAAAAACAGGCGCAAGAGAATTTCGAGAAGGAGCTTAAAGAGGAACGAAAACGATTAAAAGCTGATGCTAAAGAATCTTACAAAAAGTTAGTTGTTTCGTCTAGAGATATTCCCGAACTAGAAAACTTACTCCGGGAGGAATATGAGGAAGACGACGTCACAGTTAAGGTCGTGGAGTTGAACACCAACGATATTGCTAAACAAAACAATTGGATAGGGCTTAATCAACCCAAGTATAATGAAGAAGAGCAAGAAGAAGCAAGTAGCAATGAAGATACCAAAGAAGAAATACCTGGTATGGAGCTGAAAACATCATCAAAGAAAGTTAAACTACCTGACAAGAAGAAATTCCAAAATGAAAAACAGATAAAGAAGGAACTGAAAAAACAAGCAACGAAGAGTGTTCAAAAGAGTAAGGTTTTTCAAAAGAAGAATAAACTCGAAAGGCAAAAACAAAAGAAACAATCTTTTAAACTAAAGAAACAAAAGGAATTTACTAGGAACAAAACTAGAGGAAGGAGGAAAAAATAACTGTAAAAAGTGACATAGTAAAGTAAATATGTTTTTTAATTTTTGGGTTTTATTATCCTACGCTAATTACCTAAAATTCAATTAATTTATTAACTAATTAATTAATTTATTAATTCATATTTAATTAATTTATTAATTAATTCATTAATTTATTTATTTTTTAAATAATTATTCAAAAAAAGTCAAATTTAAAAAACATACTTTATTTTTAAACATAGGTACATAATTAAACAAACGGAAAAAAGTAAAAAAATATATAAAAACATTTTAAAGGTTTTTTTAAGCATTACATTATTTTTTCTTTTTCTTGCTATTTGAATTATCTTTAATGTATTTCATGCCATACGGACATAAATTCTTATTTAAACATGTATGGCACTGAGGTCTCAAGGATTGGCATCTTTGTTGACCGAATCCGACCAGAAGGAGATTCGCTTCCCACCATAAATCAAACGGCAACCAACTTTCAAGTGCTTTCCTGGTTTCTTCTGGAGTTTTTGTATTAACCCAGCCTAAACGATTTGAGATTCTATGGACATGAGTATCAACACCTAAAAATTTAATTATACAAAAAATGTTTCAGTTAAAACTGGTGATTTACCTATTCCTGTAATTTCACCCCAAGCCTCTTTCATACACAAATGTGCCATTTTTGGACCAACCCCAGACAGTTTACATAATTCTTCAGCTGTTTTAGGTATGTCTCCATTATATTTTTGTTTTAGCATTTCTGTAGTATTTTTAATATACTTTACTTTAGTCTAAAAAGTATAAACTTCGTATTAAAAAGAACTAAATTTATTTGCTTAATTTACTTTCCAAAATGAGACAGGTATAATAAGTTTTCCTAGGTCTTCATCTGATGTGTTTAATATGTTCTCTACTGTACAACCGTGATCTTTTAACCGAGCCATGGCAGCCTCGGTCACTGGATCTTTAGTTTGACTACTCAACATCAAAGATAAAAGTGTCTGATATCTGACTACCTAATGAGTAAATTTTAAACATAATTAAAAATCATAACTTAAAAGGTAATAAAGTAGTTACTTCTGGCTTTTCATCAGGACACTTCTTGCTATCTACAAATGAATCAACTGGGGCATCAAAATCTTTTCTCATTTCTTTTAGGTTTTCTAATATTACTTCCCAGTGTGGTGGACATTTTTTATCCATTTTTGATGGTGAAGTCTCATCGTATTCTATTTTTACATGTTCTCTTTTTACTGTCTTTATTAGCTTATCACTTGAATTATTATCAGGTTCTAGGTTTTGTGAGGTATCACTGTGAACTAGTCCTTTCTTACTTTTAGGCTTGAATTTTGCAAAATCAATACTGTGTTCAGATTGGGCATCGCTATTAGTGATTTGTTTTGCATTTCTAGTTCTTTTTTGTATGGGAGAAACTTGTTTAACTGACTTCATTATATCACAGTATAAAACTGTGATTTTATTCATATATCTATTATACCTTTTTTGGTTATTTATGACTACTAACTTAATAAAAAAATAAAATAAGTTGTTGAACAAAAGTTGTTTTTTAAATTTTGAAGTTGTATTAAAATTATGGAGTCTAAAAGGAGGAGGCGAATCGAACGCAAAAATTATGGGCCCAGTTTTTGAGATCTAAATGAAGTTCGAAAATCGCCGTTAGGGGCGCTTGTGATGATTGGGATACTAGAAACAGGGGGGTGACAGTGAAATAGGAAAATTGGAAACAGTCATTAGTGTCATTCCTGTCATTCTCCTCACGACAAGTATGGCCGCCTAGACAAGGACAGCATTGTTTTTGTCTAACTATTGTCTAACTTCACAGTTTAGAATTGACAGATTTCAGTTTCAGAGACAACTTCAGATTTGTTCTAGAATATACAAATAATGTATACATAAGATATTGGGTAAAATGTAAATATATTTTAAATTTTGGGGTTTGAAAATCGATCTAATTTAACAAAAAACATTTAATATCTACTAATAGTGATGTATTATTATTTGCATTCACAAAATTTATATGTATATTTTGCAGGTATCAATGTTCGAAAAATTATATTTACAGATAATACAATATCATCTAAAAAAAGGCGTCAGCGATGGTTATGAAATGAAGATCGCTGGCATTTTATATGTAAAATTATTCTAACATTTTTGATTTTCTTGGGATTTTTAGGTTCGGGAAAAACGCTGATTTAAGTTTTCATTTGGGTTTTCATTATTTTTATTTGGTTTAAAAAAAACGTTTCGGCTAACTATAGCCTTCATCAGTGTTGTGTCATATGAAAAAAATAGTGTCGAATATAATCCAAAAAATTACATATAAATTCACACCACATAATGTTTACTGCAATTAATAAACTAATATAAACTTATCAAAAGATGACCACATATTTTTAAGAATTATTATTCTTAACACTAAAACTATCTACATTGACTATGGATTACGCAGTAAACATTATGTGGTGCGTGGTGTGAATATTTTATATGTAATTTTTTGGATTATATTGGACACTATTTTTTTCATACGACACAACACTGATGAAGGCTATAATGTTAACCATAACGTTTTTTTTAAACCAAATAAAAATAATGAAAAACCAAATGAAAACTTAATCAGCGTTTTTTTCCGAACCTAAATCCCAAGAAAATCAAAAAATTTAGAATATTTAGAAACAAGATTCAAGAATATAAAATTTTCCAAGATTGTAAAATTCTAGTTAATTATTTTATGTGTACAATTATTTAGGGAATGTCATCGATGTTCATTTCCAAATCAACTAGACGCCGATTTTTTTCGATGATACGGTATAATTCTTACATAAAATGTAAATAACATTCGACCAATTAAAACAAAGATATGAATTTCTTAGTATTTTAGTAACACCTTTATTCTTAAAACTTAATTTTGTATTGCAAATATACCAATTTTATTGTTATTTTATTCATATTGTATTCAGCCATCACTTAAATATTTGATATTAATTTGGTATTATAAATAATCAACACTATTCAGTAAAAATTACTGAACAAATATATGTTATGCTTTACATACATTAATTATCAAACAAAAACACATTCTTCTTTTAAACTTTATCATTCTTGTCTTTACAAAAATCTTTTTTAATTTTGAACTCAAAATAATAATCTTTTTCATGATCTTTAATACACATATTCTTTATTTTTCCCTAGATCATAATACCTACTTACGTGTTTGAATCTATCGAAGTTGAACCAACAACACTTGGAGTGGAGATTCCACAATAAGAATAAAATTAACATAATTGTTCAGTTTTCTTTAATACCATCCTGGGAGAATATCATTTTTAAGTTTATTAAAGATATTTTCAATAGAATTGTCTTGATTTATAACTCGTACCCACTTTTCTTGCTCTTCTGAATACTTTAAGCTGCCTAGTATAACTATCCTTTCCACCAGGAACATAACAAAGATGAGGCATAGCACCAAAAACACACTCCACTTAAGCTTTATTGATGAATTGTTGAGTCTTAAAAAACACACACAAAAATCACGATAAATAAAAAATTTATGGGCACTTTTAGGTTAAAGCACTTAACAAAACGTGTAATATTTCGTGTTTTTTTATGAGAAACAGATTGACCATCATAGTAACCATATATCTGGTAGTACTTTATAGGTCTGTTCTCAGAAGAATCCCTGACTAGTCAGCGCGTTTCTTATTGGTTGAAATGTGTAGAAACCAGACTAACAATCAGGTTTCTACGCATTTTAACCAATGAGAAACGTGCTGACTAGTCAGGGATTCTTCTGAGAACAGACCTTATGTCACTTAAACACCAAAATAATTAGTTTTTTGCACTACAATAACAAATAATACCAAAAATCAACCGACAAAATATGAATACAGAATCTAACCCAATATCTAAGTATGTACAGCTGATGAAGTAAACAAAAGTCCGCCCGTGGGCTGATCTTTTATAGAGGGCATTGGTTGAACAAAAGTTGTTTTTTAAATTTTGAAGTTGAAGTATTAAAGTGGGGTTACATTTTATTTTTCTTCTCTTCCGTTTATCGGCCTTGAGCTGTTAGGACTTTACGGCAGAAATACTATTTTATTTAAAATTTAATTTTGTTATTTAAAATATAAGCTAAAATTATATCAATTTTCTAGGAATTTAATTTCTAAATGGGATTGTTTTTGAACTTCGTGAATTAGAAAATCCAATTATGTTAAAAGATTTTAACATGAAAATCATATACTATAAAAAAAAGGGATTTAAATTGGTACTACCGTGAAGCTAGGCGTGCATGAAAAATTTAAATTTTTGACATTTGACATTTACAAAAGGAAACAAAACATTTGAAATTTAAATTTAATTTTATGAATATATAAAATGGCTTTAAAGGAAAGATATAGTGTAGCTTTAAACAAATGTTTAAGATCATTATCATCCTGGAAAAATGTTATATCTGATAACTTGGATACATCAACGAAACAAGTGGAAATGCAAAAGTTCCAAGACCTTCTAAAAGAATATTGCCTTATTGACAACGATTTTAAGAAATCCGAACAAGCGATAAGTCTTGTCGAAGACAAATTAGGCAAAATTGAAAACTTGGAGGATATTGATAAGGTTTTCCAAGAAAAATTATCAGAACAACCTGATGAAGAGGTAACATCAAGTGAAATATGGCAAGAGTACTTCCTAGAAGATTTATCTGTGCAAGAACTGAAACAGAAGAAGAAGAAAGACAAAGCAGTGTATGAAGAAGTCGGTGACGACTCCGTTTTGTGTTCTAGTTCCTTTACACCGCCTATAGATCCAATTTCAAAAACAGTGATTCGAAACCCGGTCAAAAATAAGAATTGCAAGCACATTTACGAAAGCGATTCTATATATCAGTACATGAGACAATCGAAACGTAAAGCTAGGTGTCCCTATGTTGGCTGTAAGAATAATAAGTTGGATGGATCGGATTTAACAGAGGACAAAGAATTAGAAGAAAAAATTAGTCAGTATATTGCACAAAGTCAGGATAGTTCTGACGGTGATAGTAGTGATGACGATTGATTTATCACTTTAGGGATTGTAAGAGAGTTTGTGACGATTTTCATATTTTGTACTTGATTAAGAAGGATTTGTTTTTATACCTAAATAAACAAATAATTTGTTATAACTAAGTTTTATTATTTATTAAAACCTCAGATTAAAAATCATGAGTAAAGTACAGGGTTTCCAGGAAACCTGACAGCAAAAACAATTTAGTTTAGTAAAATATTTTACAGTTACAGTTGAATTAATTTCTCATTTACTTTCTTGAATATTTTAGTCTCTACGATGCTACAACTCTACTTAAACGACGCATGTTTGAAAGTACCCATGTCTATACTACGCACAAATTTTTTCGTTTTTGGTGCACTCCTGGAAAGTGAATGTTCTTTGGTTTATATTTTGTTGATTCCGGGGCTATTATTTGCGTCCTATAGAAATGGCTATGTTAAAAATAATAATTTTTAATCGAGAAGCCTTGGAAAAAATAGATTTGATCGTCCATTGTTTATATTGTCGTGTCCTGGCCGAGAAGGCTATTTAAAAATCAAAAGTTGTAGTCATTTCCGGTAAAACAGGAAGTGACCGAAAACAAATGAATACGTCAATCAATCGTAATTTATGTCAAATACTGACATACCAAATCTCGTTTTTTATCTGAAAAAATAACAAAGTTCTAGGGGTAAGCCACTTTTGAGACGCACCAGGTATACAAGGTGTTCCTTAATGACATGCTAATATTAAGGTAATGATTCTCGGACCTATTTTAAGAGAAAAACTTCATATGAATGTATGTCCTAAACATCTTAACTGAGATACAGTGTGGCAAAATTAAAAAAAAACATTTTTTCATAGTAACTCTGATTTTATTAAAGATATCTTATATCTTTATGAAACTTGATACACGTCTTCTAGGCATCTATGCATATCTTTTTTGAGGTAATTTTTTTATTTATTTCCACCAGTGCCGTCCATACGGGTTTTACATTGAATAATTTTGAAGAAAAAATTGGTACACCACTGAGTTCTTTTAAGAAAAAAATTATTTTCAAAAAATCTCCATTCATTTCTAAACAATTTTTAACTCTTGATTTTTTTCGTCCGATGCATATAGTTTCTGCTTAAAAAAATTAGTCAGCTTACTTCGCTGAGAATCTGATGCGGTGGTTGTTGTTGTTAACAAATTAAACCTTTTTTGTAAATCAAAATATGTATTTCGATTCATAGAAGACGTGTATGAAATAGGTCGAAGAATAAAGGGCCCTTAAATATTAGCATTAAGGAACATTCTGTACAATAAATAATAAAATATGTTAATCTTTTTATTCTTATAAAACAATATTTTATTATTCATATTAGAAAATACTTCCATTGAATTTAGTATTTTGTTATTTAACTTTTTTGCAAAAAAACAGATTTAATTAAACCAGTTAAAAAGGGAAGATTTAAATAAAATACCAACTTATAATTTTTGTATATTCTTTTTATTCAAACACTTTTTCATACAACAAATACTTTTCTAGCCTAAAGCGAGTAATACATTAAAGGTAGGTAAATTTCAGAATAATGAATACATTAAAAATAAAATACAAAATCATCTAAAACTGGCACAATGAAAACTAACTAAACTAGAAAAATACACGAGTATATTATAAGTATAATTATTTTTGAACGAACTTAT